GCTGCGGCGCCCCCCTATTGACCATACTAAGGCTCCCCAAGGGCCCTATGGCCTGCTTGTTCGTTGGTCATTTATATTACATACCTCCAGCAGTCCCTTGCTGAACTATGATTGGTGGTATATTCGCAAAAAAAAATCAGCATATAGGAGAAGAGAACTGTCAGTCAACACAACACCACAACTTATGATTCCCTGTCGGATATTATTCTCCATTATCTTCTTCAGCATGCAATGATACTGGAAATGTGAAGTGCGGTGTATTTATTTAACGTTGCATCTCCCTGAGTTCTAAATAGCGCAAAAACTACAGCACCCAGGGAACTTACAGGTCTGGCGCTTTCAAGGGTCCTCCCAGGAGCGGCGCCGCCCCCAGGGACGGCGGCGCACCCCGGGACCCCCCAAGGGGCCTTCTCAGAAGTGGCGCAGCCCCCAGGGACCCTCCCAGAGGCGGTGGCTCCCCCAGGGACATCGGTGCTCCAACAGACTTTCGCAGGGGCGCTCTTAAGGGCAACGGTGTCCCCAGGGACGGTGGCGCCCCGAGGACCCTCCCAGGAAGGTGGCGGCGTCAGGTACTCTCTTAGGGACGTCGGCGCTCGCAGAGGCTCTCTCGGGGGTGGTGGCTTCACCATGAACCCCTTAAGGATCGGTGGGTGACACCAAGGAGCCCCCAAGGGGCGGCGGCGCCCCAGGGACCCTCCCATGGATGAAGCTGCTCCTATGGACCATCCTAGGGATGGCGCCGCCCGCAGGGACCCGCCTAGGAATGGCTCCTAGGAATGTGTTCATTATTTATAAGGTTTTGAGGCGAGGGATGCTGTTTACATCTCTGGTGCTCTGTTTTCTGGGGAGTAAGATAGCAGGTGGTGGTGAGATAAGTCTTGGTTAATTGTATCACTCGTGTGTGTGTGTGTGTGTGTGTGTGGTAATGTAAAGACAAGTTGTGTAGGGAGAGTCAGGTTTATCAGCCTCTCTCTTTGCATTATTGATTAATGACGTAATGCTTCCCTGTGTCTGCTGGCCACTGACTAAATTTGCTTTGTTATTCGGCTGCTGATATTCATTCGCTGGGAATCTAACGAATACAGAAGAAACCTCTTTTTTCTTCTCGTAAATTCTTCTGAAGAGGATGTCAGTGGGAGTTAATATTGTATTATTTTTTATAAGTTTTGGTGTTTTTTCCTGTTGGTTAGATCCCCGGAGTTCACCTTCAGTTTCTTGCGAGTCCAAATATTGTTCTCTAGAATTTGTTATTAGTATCCAATGAGGAAGTGTTTGTCTGCCAACAGTAAGGTCGAATTTGAGTGAATACAATTTATTTTCTGCTTCTATTAAACCTTTAAGTGTAAAAGCTACATCTTACACTAAACAGCTACTCACACTTTGAGATTAGGGAGATGGAATTCAGGTGAAGAAGCGTACTTACTGCTAGTTATTGGGGGGCGAGGAGAGGTTAGGATAACGTCTGTTTCTAGGTGAAAAGCTTATCTTTTAAGAATATTACTAATATAAATATTCTACTGAAAGAAGATGAAATTTAAACTTTATCTCTGGCAAGGAAAGGAAAAAATATGCTACTGAAATGATGTGTCGCTGATCTGTCAAGACACCTTTCGCCTGATTATTGTAAAACTTTCAGCGTCAGAATAACAGTAGAACTAAACTTAACCTTGTGTGGAACTGACTTGAAGCTCATCCCTGTACAGCAGAAGAGAGAGAAAGGGCACTGGGAGGCAACACTCACATATAAGGAGCGCTGTAGTCATGGTATTATTTCGTGGTTCCCTCACACACACACACACTATCACCACAACACCACCGCTTCCCTTTATCAAGACTGAGCCTCAGGGAACCCGCCCACCTGTCCACCCCCATCCAGACCGTAACTGGTTCCCTCTCGTCATTTAATTACGTTACGTAATTACGTAACGTGGATGGACGACGGCGTCTGATTAGTTGGTTCATTAAAACCACTGAGAGAGGAGTCAGTCAGAATAATGTGGTGATAAAGAACGAAAAATATAGCTTTGTTTAAATTAAGCCTTACACCGCTGGTACTAAAAACAGCTATGATTTAAACCATTGAGATAATTAATGAGATATGTAGAAAAGTTCTTACTAGTTTATTGTCTTTGTTGAGCGCCAGAATAATAATGTAAACACCAAGGTCCTGCTGAACCTTGTTGGCTGAATTAAAGATAGACTTTAGTTCATGGAATATTTTGGCAAGAAAATGACATACACGCCAGGTGTGTGTGTGTAAAATAATAATAATAATAATAATAATAATAATAATAATAATAATAATAATAATAATTAACGGTTTATTGAAAGAGCTTGGCAGCCAGAAGGCTGAAAATACACAGTTACATATGTGTGTGTGCGTGTGTAATAATAATAATAATAATAATAATAATAATAATAATAATAATAATAATAATAATAATAATAAATAACAGTGTGTGTGTGTGTGTGTGTGAACCAGGGTTATAGTGGGGAGACACCTCTGTTCAAGTTATGTAGAGGATATTTCGTGCCTCTGTTATTAACCTGGTTCGTTTTTTATAGAATTTTACTCGGACATTATGTATATTGAATAATCTTTGTCAACATTATATAATATACTTAAAGTAGGTTGCAAAAATGTCTAATTTATTGCATACACAGATTTAATTGAGAAATGAGCATTGGCGATATTCAGTGGTGAAGTGCATATGAGTTGGTTAAGGTGTTCCAGGGTTAGGGAAGTTTAAGCCTTACAGCCTTTAAGAAAGAAAACAAAAACGACATAAGCATTCATATAAATAAATCCATGGATACACACAGTTGCCAAGAATGTGCTTTGTAATAATCACCTAAAGGCTGAGTGTTCAGAATTAGTATACTTACCATAAAGGGGTTATAGGAAATTACAGGAAACATGATGGTACCAAGTACTGAATACTCAACAATTATTTATCGCTGTCCAGGACCAAAATTACAACAATACATTATCACAAAATTTCATTATTAAGACTCGTGTCCCCCCCTCTCGCCCCCAGAAAATAAAAATGGTTGGATGTCGTTTAAAACTATTTTTCTTTACAACTCAATTGTAAATGCTCTTCATTTTCCAAACCTATCCTAGACATTCGGTAATTACTCGGGGTTCCACCGTAGGCAAGTACCGGACACAACAGGCTCTTGTCAAAATCCTCTAGGTAAAGTGTGATTGGGATTTTAACATCTCTTTACTCAGATTTTTGTATTGTAGTTCACGTTCCTTTGTTATTTGTAAGTAATTCACAATGAAGAACTGGGTTCTGTGCCCTCTATACACCAATCACGTACATGACTCACTATGTCAGATGTTTCCTAGTGTGGGGAGTTGGGCCGCAACTTTAAGTGTGCCAATGTTGGGGCTTACTTGAACTTGAAACAAATTCTCACTCAGAGCTTCAACATCATCAACTAATTACTTTGAGATTATTCCAATATTTTACAACATTTACTACCAAGAAACTAATTCTGTCGGTTGTAAGTCTTTATGTGAGTCCTATCTTCAAGAAGGGCGATAGGCACTCCACGAACAACTATAGACCGGTGAGCCTGACCAGCATAATATGTAAAGTACTTGAGAGTATTATCAGAGATGCAGCGATGGAACATCTACTACGAAACAACCTTGTAAAAGATTGCCAACACGGTTTTATGCCGGGGCGCTCTTGCTTGACACAATTGCTCAAGGTATTGGATATTTGGACCCATATTCTAGAACGGGGTGGTAATATCGACAATATTTACCTAGATTTTGCCAAGGCTTTCGACAGTGTACCCCACGAAAGGCTGAAAATCAAACTGGAAGGGTACGGAATTCGGGAAATGTCCTAGCGTGGATAGAAGACTTTCTACATGACCGCAAGCAATGTGTGGTGATTAATGGCACGAAATCGTCATCTGTACCTGTAACAAGTGGGGTACCGCAGGGTAGTGTATTGGGCCCGCTGTTGTTTGTTTGTTTCATAAATGATATGCCTGACGTTGTACACTCCTCCATACAAATGTTTGCCGATGACGCCAAGTTATTTCGGGAAATTAAGAACCAAGCGGACTGTGAAGAGCTGCAGAAGGACCTCTGTGGGCTCCAGGAATGGTCGAAGGAATGGCTGCTGAGATTCAATGTCACGAAGTGTAAGAGGATGCACCTGGGGCGTACCAACGGTAAGGAGGCGTACCATATGTCCCAACGGGATGAAGAAAATGTACTAGTTGAGACTGTGTGTGAGAAGGACCTAGGTGTGTATGTTGACAATGAGCTGAAGTTCTCGGGCCATTGTGAGAAGAAGGTAAATCAGGCAAATAAATTATTGGGTCTTATAAGAAGGTCGTTCAGATATCTAGACGGTCCGTCCCTCGTGACGATCTTCAGGAGTGAAGTGCTTCCCCATCTGGAGTACTGTCACCCCATCTGGTCCCCGAGATATGCTAGGGACTGTCAGTTGGTTGAAAATGTTCAAAGGAGGGCCACCAAGCTGGTGCCTGCACTTCGGCATCTCAGCTACCCTGCGAGATTGGAGCGCCTGAACTTGCCTAGCTTATACTACAGACGGGCAAGGGGGGACCTAGTTGAGGTTTATAAGCATCTCAGGGGGCACTACTCAGTTGAGTGTCCTTACTTGGAGCTGGCGGACGCTCGCCCCACAAGGGGTCACAGCTCAAGATTGAAGAAGCCGCAAGTCCGGAAAACCGTGAGGGCAAACTTTTTCGGAGTGAGGGTTGTAAACTCTTGGAACAATCTACCAGAAAGTGTTGTGACGGCACCGAGTGTGAGCTCTTTCAAGAGAAGACTTGACCAACACTGGAGCGGGTTCAGGTACATTCAGGAGCCGGTGCATGCCCAGTATTTGCCAACAGTGCGTGACAGAGACGTGACCGATCGCCCGGGCGGCTAGCGAGCCGACCTTTTGGTGAAGAATATAAAGGAAAAGAGTCGTGACCGATCGCCCAAGCGGCTAACAAGCCGATCAGTGGCGAAGAGGATAAAGTAAAAGTAAAGTATGGTCCCAGCCCTACTAGCACCCATCCCATTTTAACTCGTTCCTCGGTCAGTGGCTGTCAACAAGTAGCAGCAGCACCTTCTTCCCCAGATACTGCCCATGTTATCTGTGGGAAAGAGCAGTTGTGTGAGTGTGGGACAGCGACTGTTGGTCGAATTACTAATGGCAGGGGAGATATTGGACTCTTAAGTAGCCAACCCAAGTCTAAATTAGTTTATCCAATTTAACCGAAGGCAATTTCTCTCTGTCCAACTTAGTCTAATCTAGCATAACCCATCGCAGGTTTCATTTCTTTTAAACTTATGTACAATGAATATTTCTTGATTATGTAAGGAAGGGGTTCAAGGTTTATTGGGTTTGGCTGTGGTTGTCGAACGTGACCATGACCATCACCACAGAGTAAAACATCTAATTATACTTCATCAACTCATCTTACGTTAAACAGATTATCATTATTAAATATTTATGGGCAAACTAAACCGCTTTCAATCAGGAAACATTGTTATAGTAAACTTTCAAATCTGTTGCTTTCGAGTATGTAATAAGGCAGCCGGTGGTGAATCGAGTGTTGTGTGTGAAGGTGCTGGTTGTGACCTCGTGTCATCCCACTTCAGAGCCTCGAGGCTGCGAGTTATTTAGCAACACATTTCTCACTCCTCCCAGGAAACTCTTTCCGACTACTGATTACTGCTCGTAGCCTTCACCACTGCCTTCTTTACACGATAGTCACTGCCTGGCCGATAGGTGTTATTTTTTTAGGTAGTACTTAACATACTCCATGTATCTCAGAAAACTTTTTAATGTTCTCACTCTGCATTTCCTGCCCTGTCAGAGTCGCCATATCCACTAACTATCGCCACAGCACAACTGGTCACTTCTGGTCCGACGCAGGGTGAAGTTGGATCACGTCACTGTTTGTGCAGTCTTATTACAGTCTTTGTGTTTGTGAATGTGATGTTATCAACCGCACATGCAGTTATCGTTTCAGTTACTTCAGGTCCACTACACCGGTACCACTCCATCAACGTCTGGGATTGGGAATGGTGGTGGCAAAACTGTGAGTTAAGTTTTAAATGACTTTGTAGTGGATTTCTCCCCTACAAAGCTGTTTGTCGCTGAGTAGCCGACCCCACCAATTCCCCAGTATATGCCTCGTGGTCTGGGTCAACCAGCGCCGCCATACATCACGGAGCGGGGTCAACTACTAAGCCACGCCATCCCCCGCTATTTAAGACCTGACCTCGTCGTGATCGCTCTTTTTCTACCCACACCAACCAGCTAGCAACACCTCCTCCTCCGCCAGGCAGGCGGTCCTCTCTCCCGCCGGCGAGCATGGCGACCCACAAGCTGTCCTTCTCTGAGCGTCCTCACCAACCAGCTCTCTCTACATCACACTTGTAACCATGCTGCCTTCCCAGCACCAAGCTGCATTGTACATCCAATACAACATGTATATAGAGAGCACATTGTGAGTTTCCTTTCTCCATTCCATCCTGAGTGTGAACCAAACATCTTGAACCCCACAACTTATTACGTATATGAGTGAAATACACCCCTCACATTTTGAAAAATATATTTTCTTGGTAATAGTTACTGTGTCGTGAGGAGCATGTTACATAAGAACATAAGAACATAAGAAAGTGGGATACTGCAGGAGGCCGACTGGCCCATACAGGGCAGATCCCTTTCACACCCATCCCAGCACTTCCATGTGCCTATCCAACTTCGTCTTGAAGCTCCCTAGCGTCCCCGATCCTACTATAGCACTCGGTAGTCTATTCCACATATCCACAACTCTATTACCAAACCAGTGCTTGCCTATATCCTTTCTGAATCGGAATTTATCTAATTTAAAGCCATTTGTTCTAGTTATTTCGTTATTACTGAGCTTCAGAACATCTTCCATTTTACCCTTGTTAATCCCACTTACCCCCTTGTACACCTCTATCATATCTCCCTAATACGCCTCTCTAATGAATGTAAGCCCCTATAAGCTTTTTCAGTCTTTCTTCATATGGAAGGTTTCTAATATTATGGATCATTTTGTCATTCTTCTTTGTACTCTCTCCAAAGAATCTATGTCCATTCTATAATAAGGACACCAGAACTGAACCGCATAATCCATGTGTGGCCTCACTAATGCTAGGTAAAGTTTCAAGATAACGTCAGCAGTTATGTTACTCACAGACCTAGATATGAACCCAAGAATCCTGTTTGCCTTGTTACGAACGCTAATACATTGTTTTCTAGGTTTCAAGTCGTTGCTAACAAATACACCTTGATTTTTTTCACAAACTGAGTTTTCTATTTCCGTGTTACCTAGTTTATACTTAGCGTTTGTATTCGTCTTCCCTATCTGTAGTACCTTGCATTTATCACTATTAAAATTCATTTGCCAGTCTACTGACCACTCATGTAAGGTATCTAGATCTCTTTGAAGGTGTTCAAAGTCACTGTCTGAATTTATCACTCTCCCCATTTTGGTATCATCTGCAAATTTACTAATCCTACTAGTTATGCCTAAATCAAGATCATTAATGAATATAACAAACAGCAGAGGGCCTAATACAGATCCTGGGGAACTCCGCTTTGACCGCACTCAGTCTGACTTTTTAATCCATTTATGCTGACTCTCTTTGTTTCTACCAGTTAACCATGACCTAATCCATTTTAATACTCGATCCACCTATTCCATGTGCTTCTACCTTCCTTATCAATCTCGCGAGGGACTCTATCAATGCTTACTGAAATCTAAATAAATTATATCATATGACTTATCATTATCTACCGCCTATATACTTCTGAGAAAAGCTAAGCAAATTTGTGAGACAAGAACGCCCCTGGCTGAACCCGTGCTGAGAAGAATGAATTAAGTTGAATGTGTTTCAAGGTGGCTTCGATTTTTTAGCAATAATTGACTCTAGCAACTTGCCTATGATTGACGTGAGACCAATGGGACGGTAATTTGATGCTATTGATTTATCACCTTTGAAAATCGGAACTACATTTGTAAAAGTTTCCAAAGCTTCTGGCACTAGTCCATTCTAATGACTTATTAAATAAAACCGCCAATGGATTACTCAACTCATCTCTACATTCTTTTAATATTCTAGCATATACCTCTGCCTGGACCAGGCTTATTTATGAGGCTTCAGTTTGTTAATTACTTAAGCACATCGTTACTAGTAATATTGATATTCATCAACATATTTTCTACTGTATACTGTCGCTATATACCTTATGAACTTCTGGAAACTGTGCTAGGTTTTCATTTAGAATAATGAGCCAAAATGACTATTTAACGTATCACATTTCTAACTCATCATCAGTCATTTCTCCTGTCGTAGTTTTAAGGGGACCTATTGTATCTCTAACCTTTGATTTATACAGTTGATAAAAAACTTTGGGGGTATATTTCGATTCGTTTGCTACCTTGATTTCATAATTTCTCTTTGCTTTCCTAATTTCTGTTTATACCTGTCTTGTTAGGTTCTGATAGTAACCAAGTAAGTGATTTTCGCCTTTCTTAACTTTTCTATATACTCCTTTCTTTTTCCCTAGAAGATCTAAGAGTCTATTATTCATCCATTTTGGTTGGTTCCGTATCGATCTGAATTTTCTTTTAGGGATGTGTTTATTTTGGGCATTATTGATTGTCGCAATAAATTGTTCATAAGTAGCTGCTAAATTAAATTCGGGGTTATCCCGTCCTAAGTTGACAGTTTCCGGAGGTGTGGGGGGGATTAATCTTTTGACCATAGGGTCATCCCTTAGGTCTCTCCTTAAGCTACCGTAATTAGCCTTCCTAAAATCCGGGATCAAGGCCGAATTTTCCTTCTTCCTGCCATCCCATATTATGTTAAAATATATGGCTTTATGATCACTGTTTCCTAGTTCGTCTCCAGTCCCAACATCTTTTACTAGATTTTCATTATTACTGAGAACTAAATCGAGGATATTATTTCCTCTAGTGGGCGAGTTTATGAATTGATATAAAAAACTATCTTGTACTACTTCTAGAAAATCTTCAGATTCATTATCGCTGGTGCAGGCTATGGAGCCGTACATCAAGGTGTATCACGACAACATCAACGCCAGCCGTCAGCAAAGCATAACAGATTTCTTCACCCGCAACCCACCACAGCCAGCCCAAGCCAGTGATAGTGACAGTGAAGTTGACTTTGAGGGATTTGTCAGGGAAGCCCTGACAACTGTAAGTGACAGTGATGATGATTCACCTAGTAATGATGATTCACCTGAGGGCCAGTAATCTGCCCTCTGCCTCGGAACCAGCCTCCATCCCCGTATGCCGACCCATCTCTTCTACTACCGTAAGTGTTACACAAAATTTTTAGTTTTTTAACCTATTCTTTATTTTTCCTATGTTAACCTTTATCTTTCCTAACCTAACCTCTTCTATATTACTTGTTTTTTCATACCATCATAAAGTTAAGATAAAATTTTTACTACAACATAGTTGTGTGTCGTCAAAAAGTGGAGTTTGGGGATCGGCCTGGACTCCATTTCAATTAATCCCATATGTTATGTTGTTCACTTTACGCGTTCCTCACTTTCTGCGGGACCCTCCGAGTTACATTAACCGCGTAATGTGAGGACCAACTGTATTCAAAATATTCCTGGTATTGCAAGGAATCCAGCAATGTCAATTATATTATCCTAACTTTAGTCTGAGGTATTATTTATTACTAAAAAGGTAAATATTCTGGTTTCTCCCACACATTTCTCTGGTAGGGAGGGTTGGTGGGGGGTGGGGGGGTAGGTTGGGACGGACCGACCATCTGGCGCTTGGAAGAGGGGGGGAGGCAAGGTGGGGTACTTTGATTGACAGATAGTGTAGTGAAGAATATTTTTTTTTATTAACTGAAGATATTTGTTTTAGCTCATTAAATTCATACAAATTACCCGGCCAGAATATAATTTACATTGCTGGAATTCTTACAATTTGATGATCATTTTGAATATAAACATCATAGATTTTGCATTAGACATACAAATTTTAGATCTACTCTAAGTATTTTGTTTACTCTGAGTAAATATGTTATCTTTTGTGCAAAATATATGACATTTATATTCAAAATATTCCTGGTCTTACAAGGAATCCAGCAATGTCAATTATATTATCCTAACTTTAGTTTGAGGTATTATTTATTACTATACCTTAAAATCTAGTGGTTTTTCCCCCAAACATTTCTCAGAGAGGGAAGAGCCAGGAGTGTGAGAACAGGGGGAGGGAGTTGAGTCCATTATTTGAATGGACATTAACTTGGCGACTGTATTTCTCTATTTCTCTTAAGTATTAATTGTGTGCATGTACCATCATAAAATTAAGATGTTATTTTTACTAGAACATAGGTATTGTGTCGGAAAAAGTGGAGTTTGGGGGTCAGCCGGTCTCTATTTCATTTAATCCCATATATTACCGGTATGTTGTTCACTTTACGCGTTTCTCGTAAAGCGGGCCTCCGTGGGTTCAAGTGACCGAGTAAAGTGAGGGTTCACTGTACAATACTATGTATATACAGTACCTCATAGGTAAAAAATAATGTTATTCAAGACATCTTCAGGTCATAAGATCCATTAATCCCCTACCCAACAAGGCGCCCTGACTTGGCATCAGACCAGGTTAGTAACTTGACCCAATAATCTCCCACCTAACCTCCATCGCAAGTGTTAAGATGTGATTACAGTTAAGTATTAAAGTCAGCTGAGTTAAGTGTCTGCCTACTCTAGGCTAAAATTGACAGGATCTGCTGGCGAGTACAATATATACAGTATAACAGTACAGAAGTATACATTATTGTGTTTACAGTATGAACAATATTGTATGTGTACAATGGTGTTTCCATAAATTACAGCCCCTACACTGTCTTTTGTTTAAGGATATCTTATTACAAACGTTTTGTACAGAATTTATTAAAGATCATTATGATGTCAAATTCATCTCCAGATCACAATTAGTCACGCTTGAGTGAGGAAAGGGGGGGAGGGGGGACCATGTGACCCTACCCCCCTAAAAAAAAAGTTCACTTGTCAACACACACCAACACCACCCACACATACACCACTACATCACACACAAACACACCCTCCAATAACCACCCACACACACCACAACTACACACACACAAACCTTCCAACACCACTCACACACCCCCAGCAAGAGAATTAAGACAGCAAGCATAAGGCGTTAAGGTCTTATTGTATGACACATCTGCGTGTGTGTGCGACTGCATGGTAGCGAGTTAAATATCAGCTAATCTCTCTAATCACCCACACCTTTCTGCTTTCTCACTCCATATTTTAAAATGTTATGTAATGTAATGTTGAAGGGATACAACTTTTCTAATTTATACGTACATCTGTACTTACCACAATCTCTCTAAAAATACTTTAGGTTTTGTGTTTATTCAAGACATCCTTAGGTCATTAGACCCACTTAACCTCCACAAAAGAAAGGGTGACCTGACATTCCATCAGGTCAGGTCAGTTACATGAGACCCACTAATCCCCTACAGCTCCATGAGAGTGGAAAATAACAGTCTTTTTAAATATATTTATTTACACAAACTTTTAGATAAACTATTCTGGATTATTATAGTAAAGAAATGAAGTTTCTAACTTAATTAGAACTGTATTTATGGAGTCCAGTAGTTTAGACTCGAGGAAAGCATCGCCAGCATCCAGAACCATTCTGGGGAAATGGGCTAGTGCGTGTCTGTGCAAGAGGTCAAATCTAGACACTTTTTTCCCAGTAACCGGAAAAAGTTCCAGGGATAAGGAATTTTTCCAGGTTTGAGAAAATTGTCTTGTTACCCGGAAATCAACCATACCCGAAAGTGCTCTGCACCAATTGTTCCAGCTAACGGGGATATCACTGTACTTACTGTGCAACTATCATTTTTGTTTTCAATATCTGATACAATTCTTCACAACAGAGTTCCATCTAATTACCCTAGTGGAGTGTGGAGGCCACAAATTCCTCAACTCTTGTTCTAACGGCCTCGACACTCTGTGGGCTTCCATGATCCTTTTCAAATTCTAAAAACTTTTTGAAAACAAAGCGCATTTTTTGAAGTCTGAGCTTTAATCCCGTCATGCGCTCCAACACATGTCTGAAAAAGGAAAGAGGATAGACATTAATTTTAATCATTATCATGAAGTTGAATTATGAATGATTTTTTCATTTTTCATATTACAGTAAAACCTTCTTAATTCAAAATAATAAGGGCTCTAGCCCATAAAGATTATGAAATTTTACGAATTATGTGGAACACCTTGTCCCGAAGGAAAAACAAACAAAACAACGGTACTTTTCCGTTATCTGCCCCAATAAAAATTTAAAATGTTTCTAAGTACAGTACCAGATTTAAGGTCATCAGATATAATGGCTCAAACACTTGACAATGATAGAAAAAGAAGTGGAAAAAGCTTGCGTGGTAGGCCATAGACCCCAACCGAAAGTCCAACACACGTAACTAGTTTACCCTGAAGTGGGCAGTAGCATCCCATGGCGACATGTGCGCCATATATATTCATACAGTAAATGTCTCTCTTAATCCAAAAATTTACCAAATATTATGAAAATCATAATACTGTACATACCGTATATCATAATATTTCAAAATGTCTCTCGTATTTAAAAGTTTTACCAAATATTACAAAATTTGTAATACAGTATATTTCATAACAGCAAAACATAACAAATTATGAGTGATTTCGAATTTGATGGGGATGAATTATGGGGTTTTTACTATAGTAATGAGAAAAGGCATGAAAAATGGGGGGAGGGGGGCATGGTTCCCCTTTTTCCTTTAGGTTGAGTTTGAAATTCATACTCAACTTTTACTTAATGGAAATCAAAAAATTCCTTGTGAACAAAGAAAATGACCCAATAGAAATAAAATAAAAAGGACTAATAACATTACTGTAACATGAACATGCTGACATATTTATTCTCATAAGCAACTCACCTGGCTCCCTCTATGTCTCCGTTCTTTCTTAGGATGTCAACATATACACTCCATATATCAATGCGCTTGGGATAATTACTAAGGAGACTCTCGAAGATGGTCCTGCCTCGCTCAGCTTCTCCAAAACGGAACTCAAGTTGGCCAAACCGATTAATCAGATCCACATCTATTAAAAAACAGGGAGGGAGAGAAAATTTTGTGAACACACCATATCAACATCTGTCACATAACAATAATAAGCCAGAGGAGCAAATAAGAAACTCTATAATATTATGCAAAGAATTATGACATTATAGCCACATAACAATTACTTTTCTACTTACGTTCTGTCTTCTCAAGGGAAAGTAAAGCTCTATCCATATAGCGTCGTGCCTCATTTGCCATGTTGTGACTGAAGAAAAATATTGCTGCTTTGAGCCAAACATCTTTAATTTTTCCAAATTTTTTAGTCATGGCAAAGTACACCTTTTCAGCCTCCTGTAAAAAACAAATATTTAAAAAAAAATTCTCAGTACAACATAAAACTGGAATAAACTTAAGAAAAAGATTTTGTTAAAATGCAGACTATAACCCTTCTTGGGGATAACAGAAATAGCCAGAATAACTAGAAAAGATTGGAAGACTTGAAAACTCTTCTGTTATGGATATCCTCTTAAAGGGAGGTACTGCACAAAAAAAAAAAAAATATAAGGTGCAGAACAGTACAATTTAATGCTGAGGAGTTATTACTACTTTTTATCTATTCATTCATATCTCTTAACACTTTTTTATTATCCTGAGCATTACTCTACTAAGAATCCTTTTAAACATGCAATATAACTTCGATAAATCGGACTTCAATATATAAAAATTCGCTTTTTTCTGCTTTGAGATACTCTGGTCACCAGAAATACAAGAAAAGGGGGGGGGGGAGAAGAAAAAATCTTATGAAGTGAACCACACCTACTGAATACTGTACAGTGGTCTAATAAGATTTGCTATAGGCCTACTGAGAACTAAGACATTTGAGCATGTAAGCAGGTAGTAGGCAGCTACCAAACAGGGAGGTACTACCACCTGGGAAGATATTGGAAGCACAATGTGTTGTCTAATGGTAGACCCTGCTGCAATATGGCATCAAAAAAATTGTGAACCCAGGTTGCTGATCTGACTTTCTGCCTCATTTACAAACAATTGCAGGGTCTCAATTGTTTCTCTTAATATTAACAACACAACAAATATACTGTCATTTCTCACTATCTTGCAAGGATTACAGCAATGCAAATTATATTCTGCCCATGTTTGAGCTGCTCTCTGAATGCATATGCTACCACTGGATCCTCCAGATGCTTAGTGTTAAAACCTTTTCTGGAGGCTTGTTGCCCTCGCTGTTTTGGGGCGACTTGAAGTGAAAGCTTGGCACTGACGAGCTGATGATCAGTGTCGCAGTGGTCTGAGCCACACAGGGCTCAGGTGATGAGGACATCTTGACAATCTCTTTCTGTGACAATGATGTAGTCAGTGAGAGGCCAGTGTTTGGTTTGTGGGTGTTGCCATGAACCCTTGAACTTGTCAGCCTGCCTAAACAAGGTATTGGTGATAGTGAAGTTGTGTGGAGCACACTTGCTGAGGAAGAGTAAGCCATTGGGATTACACTTGCCTAGTCCATTTCTCCCTATGATTCCCTGCCAAATGTCAGCATCTCTACCACTCTGGCATTGAAGTCACCGAGAAGCACAACCTTATCTTCTCTGGGGATAGAGGTTAGCACTCTGTCAGGGTCAGCATAAAAGGCCTCCTTGATGTCATCCTCTGCATCCAGTGTTGGGGGTGCATGCATTGATGAAAAAGGCATGACATAGTGATTCAGTGGGACTCAGAGTGTCACAAGGTGCTCGTTGATGTCAACAGGCATTTCAGTTAGCCTATGTAGGATGCATTGGCGGATGGCAATGGCAACTCCATAAATGCGGTTTCTCTCCACAACAGGCTTACCCTTCTAGAAGAAGGTATAGCCAGACCCCAGGTCTGTGAATCGACCCTCGTTTGGGAGCCGGGATTCTCTAATGGCTGCTATGCCGATGTAATATCTAACCAGCTCTTTTGCCACAAGGGTGGTTCTTCTTTCAGGATGCTCAATTGTGCCAGTATCCAGAAGGGTCCTGACATTCCATGCAGTGACCATAAGAGGTTGTATAGTTTGTTTTTGTTTTGATCCGTGATTATGATTGCATTTTCAACCGCATAAGGATGACCTTACTGGGTGCAGTTGCCCAGTCAGGTTGGTTCTTTCGGCAGGCTGTGTTTAGGGCACCTTTTCTAGCCCCCTCCCCATGTGTAGTGAGCAGAGTGGCTCCTCGAAAGGTTGTTCAGTCGCACAGACAGGACCGGTTGCACTGCTGCCTAGATCCCAGTGCATAAATGACCATATTATATATGCCGCCCGTGTGCAGAGTTGTGACTAGAAACTCCCGGCAGTCATCTCTGCCTGTCCCTGTCGCCATTGGACTTTTGGGGGTATAGGGCAGGGGTGGGAAATTATTTTTGATGGAGGGCCACTTCATGAATGGTGGCACACTTCGTGGGCCACACGCTTAACGTGTATTGCTGCTATGTCCACCCAACTTCCAAAATTTTCCTTTCTGTAATTAATAAGAATTTTTTTTCTGATTGCCAAATGCAGTGGCGGGCCACAGAAATAATTTGGCGGGCCAAATGTGGCCCGCGGGCCGTACTTTGCCCACCCCTGGTATAGGGGTTTTGATGATGATGAGAAGTATGATGAGCTGGATGATGGCTGTGTGCGAGTTGATTTATGTGGTGAGGCAGGAGCGCCGGCTGCGACAACACATCTTGGCTCTCCCTTTTCCTGATCCAGTGGTGTAAGCAGTTGCAAAGACTGGGGAGAGGGAGAGTTGCAATGGACTGCCAATAGCCCAGTTTGTTGGGTTTTGCCTTAGTAGCCTGTCCATCATGCACTGTCTTTATCTTCCGGTGTAGTCGTCGGGTTCCCATGGTGGTCACCTCTTTCACCTATACTGCCATTGGGGTCTTGTTGGAACTCTGTAAGCATGTCTGCCTAATGTGTGGCTCCATCGCAGATTTTTCGTTTGGGGCTTATTCCCGTAGCCTTATACCTACCAAGGTTAATCCACAAGACAGCGGGGCAGTGGTTGGTAAGCACCAGGACGTGTCCACATGTCAGTGGGCCTATGCACAGTCCCTCTGGGGCCCACTGGTACTCTGAGATCCCCTGCTGGTCTAGCCTGGACCTTTGAGGCACCCAGTTACTGTGTGTTACCACGAGGAGGCATAGCAGGAGTCTTGATGGTGAAGAGGCTGTGTACTGGCAGGGGAGGACTTATGCAAGTTGCTTCCCTATTCACCACGAGGGCTAGCCAGCAGTGGTAGCTGAAAGTGAAAGGGAGCAAGCAGTGCTTGTACCTTAACACTAACATAATGCTGCCACACTAGACGCATCACACACATGCACGTACGCACACCCTGCACACACACACACACACAGGAATTAAAACTGCCTGCCTGTTGGCAAGATAAACATCAGCTGTTGAGGAGCGCTTGGCAACACTGTTTATGTTACCACTCCTTTTCACCTTTTCATTCCAACTCTTTCATTACCCACATCTTTTTGCTTTCTCACTCTATATTTTAAAATGCTATGTAATGTAATGTTGAAGGGAAACAATTTTGCTCTCATTTATACTTACACTTATCATATTCTCCCTAAAAACACATTAGCCTTCGTCTTTACTCAAGACATCTTCAGGTCATGAGACCCACTAATCCCCCACCCAAGAAAGACATTCCATCTCTGTAAATTCAGTTGCCTCTGAAGATGTCTTGAATAAAGACGAAAGCTAAGGTGCTCCAGTGTACTTAGTTGACCGAGAGGTAGCAGCAAACAACACACGCGGTGGCAGCAGGACACAGACTGAGCAGATGTAAACAAACCCAACGCGCCATATGATGTGTGGCACATAATTTAATGGAATCATGCTCGATTTAGTGAAATAGTTTAGAAAATCGAGCGAACACAATGGAAAGCTTGACTTAGCGGAAATTTTGATTTAAAGAACAGGGGGTGGCTTGAATTAGTTTGTTAAATCAAGAAAATAATGTATACTGTACCTGTTATATCCATAAAAATTAATTGGTGTTCAACTACAAACAAGCCATTAACGTATGTGCTCTGAAAACAAAAAGAATGTTACCTTTAACTTGTTGTTCTCAGCATACACCATGGCCATAGCCATCTGCATCTTCAGCTGGTCATTAGTAATCTGTGCTTCACGATAAGCTTCAACAACAGATTCTGGTGTGCCATAAAAAACTTCTAGTCTCAACAAGACAGTCCATACATTAAGTCGTTCTTCCTCTTCACGAATATCTATCACTTGAAGAGCACGACGAGTCACTGCTTTAGCCTTGTCAACTTCTGCACTCTGCAAGGTGGGTTGGAGAATTTACTTCCTAAAAATTTATGACATCAATTTACATACATGGAACATGATGTACACAAAGTTTTACTCAAAACTCACACCACAGTCAAAACCAACATTAATACCAAAAATGTATACACACTGGAAAAAAATAAAAATCTTGCTTTTATTATGCCTAGCACTGTGGGGTTTAATTCTTGGTTTAGATCACTATGAAATACAATTCAATATTTTCAGTACCTAGTCTGGAATTATAACTACAAAAAGTTAAAGTGGGTACCAAAGCTAGGCCTGACAGTTTCTTAGGGGCAATGTGGATACAGCACTGAAAACTAAGCTTTTGGTACCCAGAGGCCATGTGGCCAGCACTGCTCTAGACAGTCATTCACTTTCCCAACTGCAAAGTCAGGTATCCATCGTGCAGTTGGGTGAAGAACCCCACTTGGTGGCTGACTACAGAACTTAAAGTGGCAACCACTGGGTCAAAGTGTGCTATAAACACTCAGGAAGTCTTTGTAAATAAAACAAAAGGGAAAGGGGGTGGGAACAGATAAGATGAGTGGCACTTGAGAATAATCAACACAATGCCAAATTAAGCCCACGAATTAGTGGGAAAATACATTTGTGTGTGTAATACACATATTGTACAGTACAGTACATGCACCTACTGGCACAGAGATAAATTACATTGAATGAAAATTTCATCAGGTTATCAAAAGTTGCAAAAAAGAGAGCTAACAGTAATATCATTGCCTTACACTACCTGAATACTTTCTGCATGTTCCAGGTAAAAACTTGGATGGACAGATGGATGAATGCTCCACATGAGCTGTTTTTGTGTATTCATATGCCATTGAAACTTGTCATATATCAAAAGATCTACATACATCACCTCCATAATCATATGAGATTATAAACATCTAAGAATATATATTTCTTAACTAGAACCATAGAAAGAATTACCTCAAGATGAAAGCTTATAAACTGAATCCAAAGAGCAGATGAGTTGGGGCTGTGCTGCAAAAGTTCCTCATAATCAAGAGCAGACTGGGGTGACCGGTCCTTCTCCAAGCGGGCCAACTCCATCTCTTGCAAGCGCTTTTCCTCCTCTTTTGCCATTATCTCTCGTTCTGATTTTGACAGCTTTTTTGCCTTCTTTTTCTGCCAATAATTTTTTTAATAAAAATTCTAACTGATCAACTTCCTTTTTTCTTCACTCTTACAAGCAACATAAGTTTTATAATCAGTCACTGTCATTCATTTTCTTTAACTACTGTACAGTAATAAATGTGTTCTGCTATAATTTCCCTTTCAATAAGCCAGTGCACACCATGCTCTCTAATCACTCACAAGTAACGCTACTTCCCGCAGGTCTATCTCTGCCAATCCAGTACCTGTCACCCTAGTCCTCCACCTTCTTCTTGATCTTCTACCCTTTCTCCTGCTACCCACACTGTATCAAGTACTCCTTTTACCCAATTCTCTCAATATGTCATGCCACCTTAACACTTCCTAATCAACCCTCTGTCCAATACCTCCTTCGCTTCCACATCTCATCCTTATTTCCATGCATCATATTCTTTTATATCTATAGACCATGCATCTTACCCATACAGTAATGTAAGCTCAACTATTCCCCTACCTATTCCCTTCTTTGCCTCCATTGACAGAATTCTCGCTCACCTTTTACACACTACCTAATACACTTAATACCTTTTTCCCCTGGCTGTTTTATGATTCATTTTGTTACTTAACTGTTCAATTTACTGACACATCCACTCCTACATAACTGAAGACTCCCGCCTCCTGCATTGTTTCCATTCAACATCACATCCATTTCTACTTATTTGAATCACTTCGGTTCACATTCACTGTAAAAAATGTCTTTTGAATAAATTACCAATGCAATGACTGTTGTATGCAGCAAAATCTGACACACAGATGCACCATTCTCCTGGATAACTGAACCCTTCTATCTAAAAAAAAAAAAAAAACTGATTCTTTTCTGGAAGAAAGTAATACAAACAGAACATACCTTGGCTTCCTGTTCCTCCTCCTCCTCACTCTCTGATGAATTTTTTCCCACATCATCAGCAACATCTGGGATTTCCCATACAAATCCAGAACTTAATTTTAGGTATGGTTTTTTCCTTGAGGGAACTTCTGGTTCTTTATCTTCTGGGTCCATCGTCTCATCCACACCACTGTCATCAACCTCTACCTCAGGATTCTTCTTTTTGCAAGCCTTGTTTTTCTTCATTAATTTCTTTTTCTAGAAGTACATAAAATTACAATGCTTACTGTATTTTACAGCACTTAAAGATACACTGTTTTGTCTGGAAAAAATAAAATAAATACAAATTCAGCCTGCATCCTACAGTATATGTGAAGTTGCGATTTCCAGTAGGCTAATGAGTCCCCAAGTTTGCTATCTCCAGTAGGCTAAAATCTACCTTGCCCAACTCCAGAATTAAAAATATGTTATGGCTAATTTAAAATACTTTGTTAATTAAAAAACAGTTATTTTAATATAAAAGCTGGATTTATTACTACTGATGATGATATCTTGAGAAGATTAGCATCCATACAGCAGGCACCCAACTCTTCAGAGCTAAGCAGTAACCTTTTCTGAACTCTTACACGTATTACTATTTATAAATGTCATACCTGCAACATTTATCTTTAAGTCTACAAATATCTAATACAAATGAAGATTGACATATAATATTCTTATCACATTTGCATTTGTTAACATCGTTGGCGGCATTGTTGCAAAATTAGACTCGTCATTAAAGTCAAATCCCTCTAGCCTTCTCATTACCAGGCCAAGCTGTGAGGTGTTGCGATTATTTTCAACTCATAATATTAGGTAGATACTGTATACGTACCTCTTCATTTTTTTAACTCAGTTTCGTAAAGGGAATAAACATCTCTTTGCTCATGAGTCAGTAGGCTGACCTGAGGAACAGGAGGAAGGAGCAGTGCGTGCGTGCGTGCGTGCGTGCGTGCGTGCGTGCGTGCGTGCGTGCGTGCGTGTGTGTGTGTGTGTGTGTGTGTGTGTGTCTTTGCTAGGAAATTGGCAAAGTTAAGAGTCCCAGCTGGGCTGTGTACTATGGTGAGTGTTGAGGCCACACAACCAGTGTCTATGCAAATGATGGTAAAGTTAAACTTCCATTCAGCTTTACAGGAATACCTCACTATTTGCAGCCCCGCTTATCTGCAATTGATGTTTTAACACCCCTATTCAATATTCACAAAGCATACCCCATTTATTCACAAATGAAAAATTATGATACCGTACTTCAATACTGTATTTCAAACCAGGCGGGATAGCAGCAGCTTCACCTCTACGGTGCCAACCTTTGAGTTGTGTTGTTATTTTTCAGCTGGCAATTTTCGAGTAGATACAGTATATGTATTTTTCTTCAATTTATTTTACTCTGTTACATGCACACACAATTGATCATACAGAATGTGAAAAATAAATAAATAAAAAAGAATTATCATATGGTCATCCTTATGCAGTCGAAAACACAATTATAATCACAGATCAAAACAAAAACAAACTATACAACCTCTTATGGTTGTTGCATGGAATGTCAGGGCACTTTTGGATACTGGCACAAATGCACGTCCTGAAAGAAGACCCGCCCATGTGGTAAGAGAGCTGGCTAGATATAACATCGATATAGCAGCCATTAGTGAGTCTCGGCTCCCAGACGAGGGTCGACTCACAGAATGGGGGTCTGGCTATACCTTCTTCTGGAAGGGTAAGCCTGCTGCGGAGAGAAACTGCATTCATGGAGTTGGCTCTGCCATCCGCCAACACATCCTACACGGGCTAACTGAAATGCCTATTACGATCAACGAGCGCCTTATGACGCTCAGAGTCCCACTGAATCACTCAAGTCATGCCTTTTTCATCAGTGCATGCGCCCCAACACTGGATGCAGAGGATGACATCAAGGAGGCCTTTTATGCTGACTTTGACAGAGTGCTAACCTCTATCCCTAGAGAAGATAGGGTTGTGCTCCTTGATGACTTAATGACAGAGTTGGTAGAGATGCTACCATGTGGCAGGGAATCATACGGACAAATGTACTAGGCAAGAGTGCTGCACATTACCTCACTATCACCAATACCTTGTTTAGAGAGGCCGACAAGTTCAAGGGTTCGTGGCAACACCCACGATCCAAACATTAGCATCTCATTGAGTACATCATTGTCAGAGAAAGAGATTGCCGAGATGTCCTCATCACCCGAGCAATGCGTGGCTCAGACCACTGCGACATTGATCATCAGCTTGTCAGTCAAGCTCTCACTTCACGTCGCCCCAAAACAGCGAAGGCAAAAAGCCTCCAGAAGAGGTTTTAACAATAAGCATTTGGAGGATCCAGTGGTATCACATGATTACAGAGAGGAACTCGAACATGGGCTGATAAACAACCCAAAACAAACAACCAAAATCTCAGTGCCGAATGGAATATTCCCGACACTGTCATGACAAAAACCTGCAGAGAGACCCTCAGCCAGGTCGAAAGAATACACCAGGACTGGTTTGATGAAAATGACCCGGAAATCAATGTACTCGTCGACGATAAACGTGCTGTTTCAAATGACTTGCAGAACAACCCTCAATCAAGGACCAAGGCTGATACCTATTCCATGCTGAGGAAGGTGGTGAAGGTGAAGTGAGTGTTAAATGTGGTGAAGGTGAAGTGTGTGACAAAGGTGAATTGAGTGTTGAAGGTGCAGTGAGTATTGAAGGTGGTGATAGTGCAGGTGCTACCCCAAAGAAAGGTTTTAATGCCAGTAAGGGGTGGTTTGAGAACTTCAAGAAGCACTACAACCTGCACAATGTGAGGATTACTGGTGAACACTTGTAACTTCCCTACCTTCATCATTATCATTCATCAGATTCATCCAGTGGCAGGGGAGAATAGGAATGGGCTCTACACAAACAGCCAGCATAGAATGGAGTGTGTTACCTTATTTGTAACCCCCGTCAGCAAATGGTATTTGGACATTCACGGGCATTTTGAGACCCAAACCCCCGAAATTTTAAAGGCATACTACTATATTTTTAAGAGTATCATCTATTCAAGACGTAAGCTTAGTAAAACTATACAGTTAACCCTCACTTTACGCGGTCCCACATTCCGCGTTTCCACGTTTACGCGGTGCCCTGCCGGAACCCGGGATGCTCACATTCCGCGGTGCGTGTACCCCTTTACGCGGAGAGCGGCTGGCGAGCCGCGCCATTTTTGGATCCAAACCTCCCGCCATCCGCCATGTTGTGTAAGCTGCGCGAACATGGTGCGCACAAGGTCGCCCAGTCATCAAAACATTACCAGTTCTTCACCCGCCACCCACCACAGCCGGCCCAAGTCAGTGATAGTGATAATTATGGTGAGGATATGGACTTATATGGACTTTGGGGAGTTTGACAAAGAGGCCCTGCAAGCCTCTGTGGTGGATAGTGATACAATTGATACAAGTGACACAGGTGAGGGCCAATAATCTGCCCTCTGCCTCGGAACCAACCGCCCATCCCCGTGTGCCCAGCCATTTTTTCTACAAATGCAAGTGTTAAAAAACCTAATATTATTGATATTTCTCTTAATTATTAATTGTGTGTGCATACCATCATAAAGTTAAGATAATATTTTTACTACAACATAGTTGTGTGTCGTCAAAAAGTGGAGTTTGGGGATCGGCCCGGACTCCATTTCAATTAATCCCATATGTTATGTTATTCACTTTACGCGTTTCTCACTTTACGCGGGACCCTCCGGGTTACATTAACCGCGTAAAGTGAGGGTTAACTGTACTTTATTTGAATCTGAACACACACTGCAATACCATATTGTGAACGGAAAGTTAATCTATCGCCTTCTTTCATACATCTTTCCACTGAAACAAAATATGATGGTTCATTTGAAACTTACTAGAAATATTTGGCGATTTATTTTTTATTCACATGATATAATAGTAAACTAACCTTTGGTTGCTCCTGACTGACACTTTCACAAAGGTTCTCATCCATAGCCTCTACTGCATCATGGTCCTTAGTTTCGTCCATTTCCATACTTTCCTCGAGCTGCTCACTTGCATCTGAAAGTTCCTTCTTTCTCTTTAAGAGTCGTATTTGTTTTTTCTCCAATTTTTTCTTTGCAATTTCAGCCTGTAAAGCTTCTTCATCAACCTGAGGAGTACTGTCTGCCACTAATTTCTTGAACTTCTCCTTGTCTATTTTGTCTCCTTTATCTTTAATGTTAGCTTCTGTAATATCACCTAAACTTCCCAAGGAACACTGTGAGTCTGTTCTGACCCTCAGTAATTTTCTTAAAGCTATTTCTTCTACATTGTATGCTTCTGCCTCTATATCTTCTTCTTCCCTAACTGGAACCCCAACACTTGACTTAAACTGGATACTAGGTTGATCATCAAAAATATTAACATCTTCCTTTTTATCATGCTGTTTCAAAATACCTAAAACCAGTGTTTCTTTGATATATTTGATCACCATGCAATACTCATGACCAACTGTATAAAGGGACTGCCGGCCTTTAAAATCATTCATGTGTCTCTGGGAGGGAATGTAGGCAATCCTTCCAACACAACAGGTCTTCAGTGCAACCATGATAAAATTCTTTCTGGCCAACAGAACCTCACACTTAATCTGCTTTCCAACTTTAACCTTGGAGTTACTCTGTGTATGGAGACTCATGAGATGGTCTTTTCTTGCTGTCAGTTCCAAACACTCTTCCTCCTGATTTACATGAAGAACTTTAACAGTTATATCTTGACCAACTTCAATTTTGGTATGAACATCTAGATGATCCTGCGACAAAATCCCTGTCACTTTGCTGTTGTCTATTGTCACAAAAATCCCAGGAGGAGTGACAACTGTTACCTTTGCTTTCAGTTTGGTTCCAACTTCAAACTTTGCCAACTGACCTTTTGCATTACACGTACCATATTTCAACCATTGCTTCCTAATCATGTCTTCATTTTTGAAATGATTATGAAGCAATTGAATACTAGACTGAGTTACGTTCTTCAGATTATCTTTTAAGGCAGATGATAAAATTGGGCGATTTTGCTTGTCTTTACCTTTAAAAACAACAGATATACTCTGCCCAACAGGTATCCCCAAGTCAGTACAATCAAGCCAAATACCAGAGTCTGTAAAGTTCTTGACATGTACAAGCTGCTTACATCCATTAACACCCACAGGAATCAACACCAACAATCCATAAGTTCGGACTTCAATTACAGCAGCTGGATAACTCTCATGCTCCAATAATTCATTACTAGACTGAGCCTCCTCACTGGCACTATCGACCCAATGATAAACAGATGACTTCAGAGTTAAAGTAACAGTAGTAGTGTCTTTCCTGAATACCACAGCATTGTGGATCTCATCTCCCGTTTTCACAAGCTCCTTTATTAAGCTAATTTTGTTAAAGTTATCAGATAAATGATGCACTGGAATTTCAGCCTTGATATCTTGTGGTTTGATGATAACCATGATATTGTCTTCTCTAACTTCCTGAACAACACAGTTTACTTTCTCTCTCATCTGTACTTTATTCACTTGTTTAATCTGCTTACCCTTCATCTTCTTTAGTGGACTGTTTCCATCAATTATCAGACTTAAGATAATTTTTTTATTTTCAGGAATTACCTGAAGAATCTTACATTTCAACACCTGACCCTCTGTGAACAAAGTCTGTAGGTTATCAACAGGTTCAGTACTCACTTTCATCTTGGGAACAAAACCTTTCACATCGTTGTACATTGCAACTAGCAAGCCGGAAGAGGCAACTTTCACAATACATCCTTCAGTTATAGTATTTTCAACTTCCTTTGTATACTCAGTTACAATGGGCTCCTTTGATTCGACTAAATGCTCCTTGCAGGTAAGAAGTATATGTTTCCTCTCTGGATTCACCTTAAGGACTCGGGTCTTAATAACATCACCAACATTGTACTTCCTCTCAGGGTGCTTCATGTTGGTGTTGGTGAGGTGGAGAAATGGGATGTGACCATCGACAAATTTGCTAATAGCTACTTGAGCGCCATGGGCATTGTAACCTTTCAAAGTGGCCTGCAGAATTTCACCAGGCTTCACTTCACTATACCCAACAAGCTGCAATAAGAGAAACATGGGAGCTAAACATTGATTAAAACCTAATCTAGTGTTTCAACTTAACCTCTACATAAACTGTAAAGGAAAAGTAATAAAGAAAACCTAATTAATGATTATAACTTCATATTTAACTACAATACGCAACAAATTTGACTTGAAAAGTTAGAATCTACAGTATTTTAACAGCTTACCGACTGTCTTCTGTGTCCTCTTTTACAAATCTGCTTAATCTTTAAATATAAGACCTTCTTATGATATAGAAATAGTCTTGCAAAATGCCAGTTTGTAGACAACAGTGACTCTGACTTTCTAACATATGATTCCAAAAAGCACCTTTAAATGTTTAAAAGATAATGATGTCCACGTACCAAGTTTCAAATTATTCCATTCACAATTTTAAGATTAGTTGAACTGGCAGAAATACCTAGTAACACAGAGCATATAAGAAAACAGGGGAACACCTTAATAAAATTCTTGCACCAGCTACAAAAAATTAAAGGGAGATTGTGCTGCTCTGATTCCAGCTACCCTGTGTCATACATGAAAAGGTTTTCAAAGAGTAACCAACTCTAGCTATAAGCCCTAAGACTGTCTGCATATCCGTTCATCAAGTGTAGCCCTTAACAAGACCTCAACATACCTGCTGCTCCAAAACAGACTTTTGAATAGACACGATGAAGAGCTGGTCCATATAGTCATACTTGATTATACGACACATATGTTTAGATCCAACTGGAAAATCACGTTTAAAATGCTTTGGTGTCTTGATTTTATCAGTCAGGCGATTCCCTGAGCAAAATGCTCTGCAGTTGTCCCGTAACTTTAGATAAACACCGCTGAATTTTGATTCATAAATCTCTGCATTCTCTATTCTATCTCCAACTTTCATGCCATGTAGATGATCACTGAAAAAAAAAGGGGATAATTATACTGTGCATACTTTACATAAGATCAGTGGTGCAACTGTGCACTGTGTATCCACAACAATCAGAGCAATTTGATTACCATAAGGTGTATAATCTATATTTAAACATTTTAATATTTGGCGAGCTAATGTTGAACAAAAATAATAATAAATAAAGCATGAGGGTACAGTACAAGCTTAATGGCAAGTACATAAATATACATATATTTGATGAACACAAATGGTTGGGGTACCAAACACAGTACACTATAGTAACCTCATTAATTTGAAAAAAAGGGGGGAGGGGGCAATCTCTGGGTCACTTGAATTACCAAAAATCTGAATTAACTGAGTTCGGAATATTTTAACAATACAGGGTATTTGAAAAATTACGAATTTTTGTGTTCGATTATTAGTTTGTTTCTGTTCAATTTGTTCCTCATTATTCCAACCAACAAATAAACTCAGTAACTGTACTTCTACTGTACATACATTAAATAACATTAATTAAACAATACATTTTCTTTTTACATTAATTTTACTGCAGCTACAACCAGGGTCTTATTTTCTTCAGTTTCAGATGGAGAACCATCGTCATGGGTGTAAACACTGAAAACAACAATGATGTCCCATCTCCACTTGTGTGACTCCATATTATTATTGATTGATATTATGTAAGGTGCCTTAATAACCATTAAAGAATATAGCTTTTATTTTTCATTAATTTTCCCAATTTGGGGGAAAGGTGGTAAAATGCCACACAAAATAGATGAAAAGGTCACACAGGGGAACCATCTCAATATTATTGCTTTATTTTAATGGTAAGTAATGAATCAAAATGCGACGATTCACCTTACACTGCAATATTGGAGGACACATTACTGTCGGTATTTGAGGCTTTACTGTAGAATATTTTATATGGCAGCCAAGGCATGGTAACTGAGTATATTTTTTAGTTGGAATAATGAAAAACGCTCTGAACAAATTGAACAGAAAAAAAATACAGGTACGTCAAAACATTCCGAACTCTGTGAATTTGGATTTTTCGGTAATTTGAGTGACCAATAGCCCCTTTTTATGTTGAATTAACAAGGGTATAGTGTAAAACCAATGCCAGAGAAGCTGGCAGATTAATGTGCACTAGTTTGTTGGCTATACTGCAGTTTACAGTACAGTAGCTGCCCGCAATTTTCAAAAATACAAAAGATGTCAAATTATGAATATTAAATATTTTAGTGTCTCTCACAAATCTTCAAAATCATCAATTCTATATAGTCAAATATTCAGAGATGAGTGTATTTAGTATAGAATGGATTCAGAGCCCTGACTCCCACTGCACCAACTCAAAAATATTTCACTTACCTCTCATTACAGACATTTTTTTGCAATGTGAAGTGCACCACCTTCGTTAGTGGCATGATGTAAAGGACTCGAGCCTGTACCCTTTGAGCCATCTTGTACTGATTAAGTTGATCAAGAGGTTTCTTCAGATGTAGACGGCTTACTACCCCATCGAATTCTGCCAGAATTAGATTAAGACCTTCCTTCTGAACCTAAAAATAAAGTAAATACCATGGAGGAAATGTGTTCAAACTCATGATATTCTTTCTGTATCAAACATAAACTTACAATCAACATTTAAAACTGAGCTGAAGACCTGCAAGTTACTTGCAAAGGGAGAAACATAAGTTGGGATAGCATTTCAATGCCACAAGGAGTGAAAATCAGCAAAAGATGACAGGGGGCGAGGATATTTCTGAGTGGTGTGTCAATAGTGTAACAATGACAGGATAAGGTGAACCTGTAGTAAGAAAGGCACCTTGTTTCATAGGTGAACAAATTGAGTTTGAATTTCATCACCATATTGAGTATTACAGTTGGAGGGCATTGAGAGATGGATATAAAGGTACAGAAAGCTGGGAATGAGTGATACAGTAGTTGTTTGATATGGTGTCCAGCTTTAGATTTCTTTTTTTCCAATACAGTAATAGCTTAAAGTTGGGATGCTGCCCTTAAAAAGCACGATCAGTTTTCTAAGAGAGAGCAATCAGATTTTTGTAGTCAGATTTTGAAAATCATTGACAGGTAGGAATCCTTACCTAGTTTTTGGACACCTTTTCCCTTCCTATTCTTGAGCAGGTTAGCCATGATTACCTGATGGCATGGTGCCCAAGCTGGACATTATAATATAAGATACGCATGCACTCTCTTAGCTGGCAGGGCTGTAATCAATGAAATGGCAAAAAAGAAACATTTGCTTGTAACAATACGAGTCATTAAAACTGGTTAAGAGTTACCATAAGAGATTGTACTGTATAAACATTTGAAAAGAGAATTCAAGCAGCAGTTCAACATACCTTTGATACCGAGGTGTTGACTGCGGTGCCCGGTAAGAGGAGTGCCAGGTTGGTCGTATCAGCAACGTCCACTGTGGCTTCCTTCACAGTCTTGGCATCAGCACTAAGGCTCAGTCTCAAGCTGTGTCCATCATCACTCCACATAATCTTGGTGATCATGCAACGAACAACATTACCCACTCCAACAATTCCTATGGATAATAATGAAAGAAATAATTAATTAGTTGAACAAGTACTCCGAATTTATTGAAAGCATTTTGTTCTCCTGAAAACCCTTAAGCTATGTACTTGGAGGAATGCATTCCTGGCAGGAAGCTTTAGGGCAAATTGGGCTGATTTTTTGGTACAGAAGCATTTTCTATCAATACAAAATAAAAAAATACATGAAAAAATAAGAAATACAATTGAAAAGCCTGTGCATATTTTCCTACTCTTGACTGTACATCAACTGACTATCTGGGTCATCCACCACCACCCCGCAACAGCTAGCTAACATTACCCATTTAATAAAAGTAAGAATCATCACCATCATCATTTTACAATCATTTTCCATGCTTGCATGACATGACAGCCATGATTACCTATGCTTGTGACACTTTCCTAGTATAAACACCAACATTAACTTTTTAATTCTGCTTTTTTTATTTTAAACTCATCTTTTGCACTTTTCTTCCCTTTACAATGAAATACAGCCTCATAAAGACCAAATTACGATCTGCTGTTATTTGTTATCCTTTGTATTGCTTTGCGCACGACCCTGAATATCCATTATGGTAAACCTCGGTTACTTTACACAACCCAGCATCACCCATCAGCAGCAAGTATTTCCCCTAAAAACTAATTGACTTCCAGCTCAATGGAACTCTGCTGTTTCCTGTATGTCCATCCCCTCTCTTCTGGTGTGTCCTTCACCCCAACCTTCTATCTTCTTGTCTCCTCTTCCCCCCTCCTTCCTGCCATCCACCTTTGAATTATTGTATACAGTAAACCCTAGATAACTCGGCACCTATGGGGCCCTGGCCATGCCAAATTATCCAAAATTCCGATTTATCAAGGTACTTCCCCCCCACAATAAAACAGTATCGGCCCATATACGTCTACATGTAATTGCTAACTTTCAAAAAGTAACACTTAACAGCACTGCAGCCAAAGAATGAAGCGTCAAAGTAGGTGACAGAGGCATGGTAAGTGATGTAGGGGAATTGTAAGAAGCAGAGGTGATGGAGGGGGAAACTACATAAACAATAAACTGTGTGGCACTTACAGTATGTTCGTGTACAGTAGATGATCATTTATTCGAGCCCAAACTTTACCGTTCCTTATTAACCCCTACGTGGTTTGGGGCATGGATTAACGTCCCCTAAGGTAAGGGACACCCAGGTTTAGGGCATATATCAATGTCCCTGAATTGTTTAAAATTCCCACTAATCTCTATGGCTCTAGAGCTATAAATAAGCATTTTCAGTTGTCTGGCATACACCCCAGCAGGCAATCACGTGACTAGGCCTCATGTTTCTTGGCAACACGCTAGTACCTTCGCCTGTCCCACTTTGTAAGGATGTCGTTACGTCATGCTATCAGTGACACCGAAATAAATTCTATTCTCTTTGATGAGGTGTTCCATGTGATGCTGAGGAGCCATTAGGAATGGACAGTGATTTGAGTGATTCTGATGATGTCAATGACCCAGATTACCCACATGATGACAACGATAGTGAGAGTGATGTTGATGACCCTGACCGTGCTTAGGGTTTAACCATGGAAGTGAACCATCTCTCAAGCACAGTAAAATGATCATGTACTGTACCACTGTAATTTGTTCACTTATACAAAATGAGGAATTTTATCTTTACTTAAATGCTATTTTCACTTAAACACTATGTTAGCACTATGAGACTATAATGAACAGTGTATAGTAAATAACTCGCTGTCAGATGACAGCATGGTCATTCCAAAATTGTACATGCATGACTCAGCACCAGAAGAATTATACTAAATATTGAGAGATTATTTTATATAACTCTGTTTTTTCCTGGGTTATTTTCAAATAAATTCCAGAGAGCATAGAGTTATCAAATGCCGAGTTATCCCGGTTTTATTATATACTCCTTTTCCCAATCTTTCACTTTCCATTTTGTTCATATATCCATACCACCTGGGAACACCCTGATTGGCTCTCAACCTCACTTTTCTTTCAATTTCTTATTCTCTGGATCCTGTTCACCCAACATACTGCTCTAAAGCACTTCCTTTCTACAGCTTCTAAGTTGGCTTTTCCACTTGCATCTCACTGATAAAATAATAACATTAGTTCAACAATTCCCCTGTACATACCCAATTTGCCTCCTTTAAAATGATTCCTTCCCTTCCTATATTTCCCTAAACTACCAGACCAGTACTAGGGTTCAAGGTATCACTCACCATTCGAGTTGCTGAAATACCAACTCTAATCTGCTTCTAGTCTCTCCATACAAAGGTAAATTTACTTCTCTATCTCCATGCTCTACATATTTTCATCACTTTACTTTTGTTTACATCCATTGTCAACTTTTTTCAAGTACACACTATCTAAACTCTTTCACTAACATTGTAAATTTTCATCCAAATTATCCACGAGACCAATGCCATTTGCAAGCAACAGCTGACTTTAATATTTTTTACTGCTACATCATATAAAACAGAAACCACTGGAAGACAACTCTGCAGAATTCTCATGATTTGTCGAGGTGGATTCAGGTCTTCAACAATATTACATAAGCTACACAGTTTGTATACAGGCTCCATCCAACATGGTTTCAAAAGTAATATATGGAATATGATGAATTTGACTTCTTTAAAATACTTTTTCTTTTTCAATTGAATATAGAAAACATTCCATAATATGACAGATGAGAGAGATGTTAAAGAGAGGATCCTACTTGATCCACAACACACCAATCATGTTTTACATTGAACAAACTACACAACCCCAAATGCCTTCATACACTTACCAGAATCATCGATGTCTGTGTTCTTCAAAAAAGCCCCTCTTATGTTAGAGATCCCCGTGTCCATAATAAACCCATTGTCCTCCACACTGGTCACTGCACAAGGTAAAACAAGGCCAATCTGGAGGTGTGATGCAGAGATGCCAAAGTTCACCTCTCGGGGCTCGATGGTCAGGTTGACTGTGAAGGACCATATACAATTTATTATTATTACTATTTCTAACTGTCTTATTATATGATGAAATGGGGTGTGGCAGGATGGTATATTTAAGGGTTGTCCGACATACTTTAGATCAAACCAAAGGCAAGTTATAAGATAGATTATTGTAAAAACACCAAGCAGAGAGAAGCAGAGAGGAGGGAAAGGGGGTCCAAATTTTTAAGAAATGCATAACTGCACTGAAAGCTTCACTATGAGAGATAAGAATGATAAGGATGGGATACCTACATGCATAGGTGGGTGACAGGTAAGTGGGGGGACTGGAGCACTAGGAAATGAATGGAAATGAAGATGCTGTTAGAAATAAGTTGAGAGTGGAATGATTAAAAATAAATAAAAAATCATAAGCATACATAAAGGGACAACTACAAAATAAGAAGAAGGTGCTTCCTCCGACGATACTGTATGTTGGTTGACAGTAGATTGAAATGCAAGTTGGATGATACATATAAACTAGGAGGAACTAATGTGGCATAACAAACCATTAATTGGTAGATACACTGACAATAAAGCATGGAAGGTTCAGGGCCAATAAAAATTGCAGAAATGTAAAGGTTGTAAAAATGAACAAACTGAAAAAATAGCATGTGGATTTTTTTTTTAAAGAATTGATTGCAAGAAAAATGTCAAACTTACTGTAGATGGGGGTGAATTAGGGATTCATTGAGTGTGGTAATTGCCGGTACATCCCTGGCGACACATGAGTCTAGGTTGTAAATCACCGAATTAAGATAACATTAATAGATAAAACTCAAAGCTTGAGTAGAAGGCCGGCTACCTCCACGAAGGAGAAGATGTCCCCTCTCATGCTCCCCCCCCCCCCACCAAGCACCAAAGAGAGACGGTAAGACCCATCTCCTCCCCGGCATTGGCAAAAGTGCTTACAATGAAGATCTCTGAGCCTGGGGTACCATCAAGAGGTGTTCAACAGTCAACGGGACCAGGCAGTCTTCACAATGGGGAGGGGGGATGCCATCTCCATTAAAAAAGCATGAGTCAGCAGTATGTGGCCAATGCGGAGGCAGGCCAAAGCAGTCTCACAGCGGCACGACAGTCCCTGATATCCCCAGGCACCCAATGTAGGGTGGATGTCAGGGAGCTTGTTTGCTCTGACAGCATCCCACCTGCATTGCCAACTCAAATGGATGGCAGCTCTTATTACTGGCTTCATATCAGAGGCAGGTAGAGGGTTCATGCCCCTTCTCCCCCACATGGGCCAGAACCCAGCAAAAACTGACTTTCAGCTGATTGAGAAACAGCCACTGTAAAATATCTATAACCAAGGGATGGGGCGATGAGACACAAGCTAAGGCCTGGAGAGCATTGCGAGAATCACAAAAAAATTTAAAATCGCTACGATGCTGGGTAAATATACCCGAAAGCTCTGCCATAGTGGGGAGACTACCAACCCGATGGAGATTGGGAAGACTACGGTACCCCAAACTCACCCCTGCATTCGACTTACAGCTGTCAGTGTAAACAGGGATAGTCCCTCTGAGAGAAGGCATGCTCTAAAAAAAGAGAATGAACCACAGGGAAGGAGTACATCCTTCCTTTCATTAAAATACTGACAAACTTGGACTTCAGGGAAAATCCACGGAACAGCACTAGGGAACCGCACGGGAACATCTGAACAAGAAGAAGAGAAAGAAGACTCACAACCTCCCTTACCCTGAAGTCAAAAGGTTGTGGGAGGCTTGCATGCTGAGTGTAGTGTGGGGACATAGTCTCATCATCCACACAATTGTTGGTTATAGAATGCAGAAGGCAGTGGAAGCGAAATCAATACTGGACTTGGAGATACTGATTGGTTGTAGAAAAGTGGGACAAGTCAGTAATAAAAAAAGGGGGGGGGAAGCAGCAATGGTGTGTGGATACAAGATAAAAATGACAAAACCTCAGACTTACCTTTAAATTTACCATTGATATCTTCTACAGACACAACTTGTGTTACTATGTACTGCCCCGGGCTATACAGCTCTTGTAGTGTGTGGATCTCCTCCTCCTCTGCCTCATTTTCAACTTCTTTTATCTGAGGGTTAAGTCTGCATATATTACAGTACTTCTAACATAAAACACTCTTACTTACCACATGTTCTAATAACAACATTCAATATGCACTACACTAATTCCTCTACAATTTGGAGTTCCTCTTAATTCGCACCATTTTGATAGTTCTGAAATCTAGTACAGAAACATCCCATTTCACGAATTGGTAAGGGACTGAAGGACCAGCTCATAAGGCAGTTGTTCAGAACCTGAAAGCTATTTCCCATAGGAGCAATGTAATCATGGGGGTTTAGGTTCTAAAGCCTGACTGAATATAGCTAACAATATGAATATACTTCAATGGTCTTTGTCAACACTAGTGTACATTCCCAATTCTTTCAATTCATTATCATCATAACTTATAAAAAAATAACAAATATGAATCACAATATATGGGAGAGCCACAAAGGAAATAAATGAGATAAAAAAAATGGAGCGTCTAGAAACTCTTATTTAACACTGATTACCGTATTTTTCGGCTTAAAAGACGCACTTTTTATGACAAAATATACCTCGAAAATAACCATGCGTCTTCCAGGATGCTAGTCCTTCCAGGATGCTAATCGGTGAGTTGTAGCAGAGGTTTTTGAAATCAGCCCCTTACAAAGACTGTTACCTCATTACAGTACTTAACAATTACAAGTATTCTCTATACAGTACCGGTACTATAAAACTATTGATTTAACTAAAATTGTTGATATATTGCAAAAAAAATAAAAATAATAAACCCTGGCTGCTGTGTGGTTTGTTTACTAATGGCAGTGGTGCGGCAGCGCCATCTATTGAGGAATTGCTAAAGGTTGTCTACTGGTCTCAAATGCAGGAATGTTTGTTTCTTTATATGTAGGCTCTCATATTTTGACACGTATTTACAGTAGGCTCTCATATCTGGATACCCATTTAGACTGTAAAAACCCCACAAAATTAAAATCTTCCAAATTTAAATACAACTTCGTCATCCAAGTCAAAACACACACAACAACATTGGCTGTCCTTATGTTTTCAACTTTACTACCACTGGTGGGTAGAATTTTTTTTTAATTCAGAAACATTAATTAAAATATATATGAACAATAAATAAGTGTTGCTTTCATATTCTTATGTAGAGTAATGATGATCTGTTTACACATGTGCTCACTTACATACGTGATCTCACTTTTTTTACCCTTAATTGTTAGCTACTTCCATTGTTCCATTTATTAACATTAAATAACATTACTTAAAACAACCATATTAATTTTTCTACATTAATTTTAATACAGCTACAGTGAAGGACTTATTTTCTTCAGTTTTATAATTATGTAGAGCCAATCAGTCACTGGTTTTGCAAAAAAACTAGTTGTTTTTTACTTTTATTTTGTTTTTAAATACAGTGGTCCCTCGGTTAACGAACGCCTCGGTTAACGAACGCCTCGGTTAACGAACGCCTCGGTTAATGAACTGCCTCCCATAAGATTCTTAAATTCGGTTAACGAACAAAAATTCGGTTAACGAATTTCTTACGAACCGACCTCAACATGTTTTCGCTTGCATTGGCCGGTCAACCAGCTTTAGTATTAGTCCGCTATTACATTAATCGGTTCTAGGGCTTAAATTCCTTACTATTTTAGTAAATATCAAGAAGTTTATACTATTCAATAATTTTAAAAGTTTAATATTCAATTTTTTAGTCATTTTAACAATTATTGAACAAATTGAAGGTAAAGCGACTAGTTTAATGCACGGCATCCAGCCTCTTAACACAGCAAACAGGAGTTAGTTTCTCTCTGTTTTCACTGGAGGTAACATCTTGCTTGAGACTCTCTTCAACTAAACGCTTTTTTTCTGTTTCCAAGCAAATTATTGGTCATTTTGAAATATGTTTTACATATTGACAATATATAATGCAGTGCAGTGTTGATTTAAAGAAAATAATCTTGAAAATACACCAAGAGAACTAAAATTTTACGGGTGAAATGGTGCCATTGGGTGACTTCTCTTCCACCCCAATGCCTTCTCTTCTTCCTTCCCCTCCACCCCCATTCTAATTCCCATCATCATCATCATCATCCAGGAGCCTTCTACATACACACCTCAAAGTAAGTGAACTTTTCTACCATTTTTGTTGAATTTAGGCAATTTTCGGTGAGCTGGAACCAATTACCCAAAAACCCATTGAAACAATGGTTTCGGTTAACGAATTTTTCGGTTAATGAACAACCTGGTGGAACGGATTGTGTTCGTTAACCGAGGGACCACTGTAAAGATTTTTTGTTTTATATTGACGTTGATATACATGTTTACATTTGCTTACCTTCTACTGTGGAAATATTTCCCGTCGTTGTCATACTGACAAAAACAAGAGAAAGAATGTAAACACTACAGCCCCTAAGATGTGGAGGTGACCAGGTGTATAAAATGAGTGCTGTATTAAAGATTTCACCTTCTTATACAGATTTTTTTTTAATTGATGAAAATGACGACTGATAAGCAGTTCTAAGTGATAATATTCAAAGAGGTGTGTGTACTTGTGCCAAAAGGGCTGTATATCAAGCAACGGTTTCACTGGTGTAGGTATTAGGCAGCTAATGTACCAAACAAGGAGGTACTACCGTCTGGGAAGATATTGGAAGCATAATGTATTGTGTAATGGTAGACCCTGCTGCTATGTGACCAAGTCCCAGGTTGATGATCTGACTTTCTGCAGGGTCTCAATGGTTTCTCTTACTTTGACAACACAACATGCATACAGGTATATTGTTTCTCACTCTTGATATTTTTTTTCATTTTTGTATTTCTTTATTATTATTATTATTATTATTATTATTATTATTATTATTATTACATTTTCCCCCCATAGGCGCCAATGTGGGTCAGTGACCTGTGCCCAGGTAGGTGAAAACCCATAATTTTTTTTTGTTAGAATTTCATTTCCAAAATTAGGGTGCGTCTTCCACGATGCAGCGTCTTCCAAGCCGAAAAATACGGTACCCATTTATCATTAAAATTACCCGGTAGCTACGAACTATGATGTCACCATGAATTCCCTTTCATTGTTTCTGTATGAAATAAACAGTTGTTATAAATAACAATCATCTCTGAGTTACCTTTGTAAGCAGGGCAGTGTAAGCCTTAGAGATGCGTGCAAGGGTCACAGTCCCCACCAGTTTGTGTGGAAGGCTCACCAATAGCTCATAGTTGCGCACTTCTTGTACACAACCCAGTATCACCTGCCCATTTGTCAAAGCCTGAAAAAAGTATTTTAAAAAATTGCGTAATTTGTATGTAAATTATATCCTAGTTTCTATTTTTATTTACTTTTTTTTTATAAATACAGGTATACATGTAGACATTTTAAATGAAAGAAATCAAAATCAAAGGATTTATGTATTTATGATGCATTTAAAATTAACCCTATACAGGTATGCTGCAGTAATGCATATCTCCATACAGAATTACCCTGCCCCCCAACTGCATTGACACTCAAAAATGTTCTTGAACATTTAAAAGTAAAGTTGATGAACTTATATGTGGGAATTATAGGAGCCCAAAGCTGTTAGATCAAGTTATCAATGTTTTGGAAAGAATGAGGAAGAAGTTGATGAGGAAAGTGGACAGTAATGAATGCAGTTTGAGTTTATGCCAGGTAGGGGGACTAGAGGCAATATACCCAGGTAACTGCAAGAGAAATATCCCAAAATGGAGAGAAAGTTAAATTTTATACTTTTATACTTAGAGAAGGCACTTGACAGGGTGCCACATGATGTGGTACAGCACAGTGGGCAATGAGAAAGCTAAGAATCAAAAAGTGTCTTGTTTAAGTGGTTATAGCATTACTGTATATGAGGACTCAAAAACCTCTGTGAGAGTAAATGAAAAGGAAAGTGACAAATCTGAGGTGAAAGTAAGGGTTTATCAAGGGTCTATCTTGACCACCCCCACCCCCCTTCTGTTATCATTGGACTTTAAGACTGCTGTACCCTGGGAGTTGTTTAATATTGATGAAAAAGGTATTGATTAGTGACATGGGTGAGGGACTTGAGGTGGAAAGTGGAAAATAGCAATGTGCTGTCTGTGAAAAAGGTGTTGGCAAAAATTCAATAAAGTCGATGAGTCCTGCTACTTTGGGACATGAACAGTGCTGTAGGGATTGCTGAAGCTAACTTTGTTACAAGAGTCAAAAGTGGCTGGAAAAGTTAAGGAGTTGCTGCCTTTATTTACAACAAGAAGACCTTTCTTTCAAATGCAAGAAAGCATGTATGCAACTAGTGTGAGAAGTATGATATTGTATGGCAGTAAAACATGGACAGTTAAAGAGGTATGAGACTGAAATGAAAATGGTGAGATGGATCTGTCAATAAGACACTGAGAGATAGGGAACCCTGTTCTGAGCTGAGAGAGCAGCTGGGTCATCATCATTGTTTTATGGCCATTTTCCACACTTGTGTGTCTATTGAGAGTATTGGCAATGTTTTGTGTAAAGGTAGATTGAGATTGTTTGGGCATGTGCAGAGAATGTAAGAGTCCAACTAGAAAAGGAGGTGTATGAGTCTGAATGTGGAGGGGGTAGGCCAAGAATTGCATCAAAGCTAAGAACCTGGTGAAAAAGGTTGCAAGAGTCCTCCAGCATGGAGAGTTGCCATCAAGTAATCATGGCTAACCCATACAAGCAAAACAATGATGATATTATCTAATTCAAAGGGGGATATAAAAGGAGAAAGTCATAACCTCTGGTGCTCACCCAGTTTATAAAGTAAATATAATTTGAAAAACATGGAGAGATAAATACATTCATTATAGGTTAAAAAAAATAAATAAAAATAAAGTACCTGTATGGACAGACATACAAGAGGAGAGCACAGCATATAAGACACCAGTATATACGGTACACTCAATTTTGTGGGTAGGTATCTTCTGTTCAATAGTGTCTAGCAGTGATGCAGGTGTAGTTACCAAAGAAACTGATACTCTGAACCACCAAGAGCTGGTGCGGTGCATCAAACAAAGTCAAGCGCTCCATGCTTGGTTCCTAAGTACAGTATTACAAACGGTCGTAAGTTTATTTAGTTATTTATTTATTTTTTTAAGAATACAATAGAGCGATGATTGGAAGTGTGGATAATAATAACTTGGACGGACATAACTCGGGGAGTGCCTGTTCTTTGAAAAAACTAAGCTTTAAGTGAAACATGGTGTTAAGTGCCAGCAAGAATGAACAGAAGTTCCATCCTTGGTCTGAACTGCAAATCAACAGGTTAGTATCACACTGCTTTAAAGAAAATGCCAATGTTTAAGACTTACCTCATAAGTTAAAGGTTGCATATCAATGTCTGAAACTTGTTTGTCCACTTTCTGTCGTTTCTTGTCACCATCTCCCTCATTCTTATCCTTCTGTTTTTTCCTCTTTTTAACATTTTTGTTTGAATCAACTTTTGGTTTAACCTATGAGAAAAAAAATTAATTTACTGTAGGTAATTTTTTATACAAAAAGATCTTAATCAGTTAAAGGAAGATATTGTATTCATATGTACAACAATGAAATTGACAAAATACTTTACTTACTGAGAAAAGGTCTCGACATTTGTCATTCCCTTTGGCCATTATGGTGTTCTGAAAAAAAAAAAAAGAGAAAAAAAAATGGAAATTTATATATGAGAAATAGCATTGCATATCACAGTTTTTGGCTAGTTTTTATGAACAGACAACCAGTAGATATAAATTCTAAAGTTACTGGTTAACCCAGACACAATTTCACTCTATTAGCTATCATATCTATTTATGATAAGAACTAGGAAAAACCAAACCATCTATACTTGTTGATGATCAAGACCTTGCTAAAGACTTAACATGTTATCATGAACTTCTTAAAAAGACATGTAAGTGCCAAAAATGTGGCAAGGAAGTGACATTCAGGTGACATTACAGATATCCCCCAATCTACAGTGTCCCTATCTACGATATTTTACATTAATGATGCTGATATATTAAGACCACTCCTCTGTTTGCAATGTAAGCAAACCCACATTAACGATACTCATAATCCCAACAACTCGGAATATGGAACGCATCACTCACTTTATTTCTCAGCTGAGGTGTTACCTACCCGAACACCTCCTCATGACCATCTGATAAACTACAGTCCAAGCATTGTTTCTCCTTGGTTACATGTGTGTAAGAAATGGAGCTCTTTTTCCCTTCTTTTTTTAATGGGATTAGCCCACTCAGGCACACGTCGGGGCCTGGGGGGAGAAGGAAAAAAATTCTGAACCAAAAATAAATCAAATGGAAAAAAAATAACAAAGCAAGAGTGAAAAACGATATAATTATATGTTGTGTTGTCAAAGAAAGAGAAACAATTGACACCCTGCAATTGTGTGTCAATGAGGCAGAAAGTCAGATCAGCAACCTGGGACTTGGTTACAATTTTTGTGATGCCATATGGCAGCAGGGTCTACCATTAGACAACACATTATGCTTCCAATATCTTCCCAGGTGGTAGTACCTCCCTGTGAAAGAACATCACTAAAGTTCACATTGTACTCAGTTTTAGTTACTGTGGAGGGTTTTTGCTCTGACTGTGAAGTACTTTCCCTGGTTTAGTTACTTTGAAGTGCTTTCACTATGATCCCCCACCTCGACAAACAGTAATCTGACAGTGCATCAGAAGGTCAGTAATGTGAGATCACTAATCCTCCAGTGTATGCTTATGAGCCATTCGGTATGGGCGGCTGCTCTCAGGTCCACAAAAAACGTAAAATTACACCATATCATAGTACTGTAAGTTCTTTCTGTTTAATCTACCGTTCCAGAGGGACGAAGACCCATGGCTAGAAGGTTAGGTAGGTAGGTAGGTTTGTTTGGTTAGGTTGGTGAGGTCTTCTAACAACGCCTCTGCCGCTTGTTTTTCTTATAAACTAAAATTAGGTTAGGTTAGGTTAGGTTTAATTTAGAAATAACCACTTTTTAATACATTTGCACAAACTACGACAGTGTCCACTATAAAACAGTGATATTGTGGCATTTTTATAATCGTCGTCAATTATTACCTTGATGTGTTTTGAAAGCTTGTTACCTTGATTTTTATAGCAAATCTCTAGATTCTGAGATGGGAAAGGGGTGGGAGCTTATCATCTCAAAAACTATTGCATAGATTTGTGCCTGTGCCCGGTTAGACTAGTCCCCGTAAAAAAAAAAAAAAAAATATATATATATATATATATATATATATATATATATATATATATATATATATATATATATATATATATATATATATATATATATATATATATATATATATATATATATATATAAATCACTGTAGGTTGGCGTGATCTAGGTATATGCTGATAACCTTGTGGTTATCGTCTGGAACCAATTCAGATCGATCAGGAATCTTTCAGATCGATACGGAACCAACCAAAATGGATGAATAATAGTCTTAGATCTTCTAGGGAAAAAGAAAAGGTATATAGAAAAGTTAAGAAAGGCGAAAATCACTTGCTTGGTTACTATCAGAACCTAACAAGACAGGTAAAAACAGAAATTAGGAAAGCAAAAAAGAGAAATTATATGAAATCAAGGTATGAAATAAGATGAAAAAATAACCCCCAAAGCTTTTTTATCGCTGTATAAATCAAGGTTAGAGATACCAATAGGTCCCCTTAAAACTGACAGGAGGAGAAATGACTGATGATGGAGTTAAGGGAAATGTAGTAGTACGTTAAATAGTCATTTCGCGCTCCGTATTCTGAATAAGAAAACCCTATACAGTTCCAGAAGTTCACCAAGGTATATAACGACAGTATAGAAAATATGTTGATGAATATCAATATTACTAGTAACGATGTGCTTAATGTAATTAACAAACTGAAGCCTCATAAATCGCCTGGTCCAGACGAGGTATATGCTAGAATATTAAAAGAATGTAGAGATGAGTTGAGTAATCCATTAGCAGTTTTATTTAATAAGTCATTAGAATCGGGCCTAGTGCCAGAAGCTTGGAAACTTGCAAATGTAGTTCCGATTTTCAAAAAAGGTGATAAATCAATTGCATCAAATTACCGTCCCATTAGTCTCACGTCAATCATAGGCAAGTTGCTAGAGTCAATTATTGCTACAAAAATCAGAAGCCACCTTGAAACATTCAACTTAATTCATTCTTCTCAGCACGGGTTCACCCAGGGACGTTCTTGTCTCACAAATTTGCTTAGCTTTTTCTCAGAAGTATATGAAGCGGTAGATAATGATAAGTCATATGATATAATTTATTTAGATTTCAGTAAAGCATTCGATAGAGTCCCTCATGAGAGATTGATAAGGAAGGTAGAAGCACATGGAATAGGTGGATCATTATTAAAATGGATTAGGTCATGGTTAACTGGCAGGAAACAAAGAGTCAGCATAAATGGATTTAAGTCAGACTGGGGTGCGGTCAAAAGCGGAGTTCCCCAGGGATCTGTATTAGGCCCTCTGCTGTTTGTTATATTCATTAATTATCTTCATTTAGGTATAACTAGTAGGATTAGTAAATTTGCAGATGATACCAAAATGGGGAGAGTGATAAATTCAGACAGTGACTTTGAACACCTTCAAAGAGATCTAGATACCTTATATGAGTGGTCAGTAGACTGGCAAATGAATTTTAATACTGATAAATGCAAGGTACTACAGATAGGGAAGACGAATACAAACGTTAAGTATAAACTAGGTAACACGGAAATAGAAAACTCAGATTGTGAAAAAGATCTAGGTGTATTTGTTAGCAACGACTTGAAACCTAGAAAACAATGTATTAGCGTTCGCAACAAGGCAAACAGGATTCTTGGGTTCATATCTAGGAGTGTGAGTAACAGAACTGCTGACGTTATCTTGAAACTTTACCTAGCATTAGTGAGGCCACACATGGATTATGCGGTTCAATTCTGGTGTCCTTATTATAGAATGGACATAGATTCTTTGGAGAGAGTACAAAGAAGAATGACAAAAATGATCCATAATATTAGAAACCTTCCATATGAAGAAAGACTGAAAAGCTTAGGCTTGCATTCATTAGAGAGGCGTAGAGTTAGGGGAGATATGATAGAGGTGTTCAAGTGGGTAAGTGGGATTAACAAGGGTAAAATGGAAGATGTTCTGAAGCTCAGTAATAACGAAATAACTAGAACAAATGGCTTTAAATTAGATAAATTCCGATTCAGAAAGGATATAGGCAAGCACTGGTTTGGTAATAGAGTTGTGGATATGTGGAATAGGCTACCGAGTGCTATAGTAGGATCGGGGACGCTAGGGAGCTTCAAGACGAAGTTGGATAGGCACATGGAAGTGCTGGGATGGGTGTGAAAAGGATCTGCCCTGTATGGGCCAGTCGGCCTCCTGCAGTACCCCACTTTCTTATGTTCTTATATATATATATATATATATATATATATATATATATATATATATATATATATATATATATATATATAATATATATATATATATATATATATATATATATATATATAAAATAAAAATCTACGCCTGACTCTAGAGTATTGCCAACCTCCTTTTTTGTCCAGTTTTGTTAAGTGAGACATAGTTTAGCCGTGAATGCTCGGTCCGACTAATTACCCAAATGTACCCAAATGTAGCCACAATGAAGCCAAATGATGGTCCTACATGAATAAATTGGACTGCCAATCACTTCTCGACTAGTATTTGGTGTCACAAAGTCACAAAACAATTGGAAAACTTAATTTAAACTGAGTTAATAGATCGCGTGCTTGTACCAAGGGAGCGAGTAATTACCCAAATGAACCCAAATGTAGTCGCAGGGCTCTCCAAATAGGGTCCGACTAATTACCCAAATGTAGCCGCAATGAAGTCAAATAATGGTCCTACATGAATAAATCGGACTGCCAATCACTTCTCGATTAGTATTTGGTGTCACAAAGTCAAAACAATTGGAAAACTTAATTTAAACTGAGTTAATAGATCGCGTGCTTGTACCAAGGGAGCGAGTAATTACCCAAATGTACCCAAATGTAGTCGCAATGAAGTTAAATGATGGTCCTACAAGCGTAAATCGGGCTGTGAATCATTTCTCGATTATTATTTGGTGTCATAAAGTCACAAAAAATTGGTAAACTTAATTTAATCTGAGTTGTGTTAAGTTAGGAACACCTCCTCCTCCGCCGCTGCCTTGCGGCCTTCGCTTCTCCTCCGCCTGCCTGGCGGTCCTCGCTCCCACCAGCGAGCATGGCGACCCACCAGCTGTCCTTCTCTGAGCTTCCTCACCAACCAGCTCTCATTCTGCTCTCGGTTCCTGAACACGCAACACCTCCTCCAAGCAAGCTCCTGCTGTCCCGTTCTCATTCAACCAGGAGGCCAGCAACAGGCAACATCTTCTCTAATGAAGCTCCTGCACATCTACCTCCTTCAACACGCTACTCACCGAACGTGTCTACTGAGCAGCTCCTCACCACACGGCACCTCCAGCACCAGACTGTCTATCATATAACTTATATTATATAAGAAAACCACCTTAGAGTTTCCATCCATCCTGAGTGCTAGACAACATTTATACCACGAAACCCTACAACATGCACGCGATCTATTAACTCAGATTAAATTAAGTTTACCAATTTTTTGTGACTTTGTGACACCAAATACTAGTCGAGAAGTGATTGGCAGTCCAATTTATTCATGTAGGACCATTATTTGACTTCATTGCGGCTACATTTGGGTAATTGGTCGGACCCGTGAATGCTCCCTCCAGTAATATTTTAACAAATAATCTGTACATTACTGCTGTGGTTACCTTTAACTAGTTGATGTGCCACAATGTCTTCACTCCACACGTGTTGTTCCTCATGGGGGCACAGTATTTGTTATGGTCATTACGTGCCTAAACAAGATTTAGTACGCCCCGTGCTCAAATATTTATTTCATAATATATTTAAACTGAATTTGTAGTCACCAGAACATCTAAATTATCGAACTGTAATAAGTAAGTAAATTTACAATAGGATATGAAAATAATAAGTAGTTAAGTTGTGTTCCCCTTTACTTCAGTCAGCTCATACAAATTTACATTAATTCAGCGCGTATACTGCTGTTGGTGGATAAATTTAAGTACATCAGAAATATTGTTTATTATCGTGAATATGGTTTTGTGAGTTAATATGGCTAAAGAAAAGGAGGAACGGAACGTTTAGTTACTACCACAGACCGGGAACTTTTATCTGGCAAAATATCTTATATTCAGCTCCTGTTGTTGTATACTGACCAACTATGTATGTAATATTTAGTATATGAAACTACAGTTGGTGTATAAATATTCATAGGTACCACTACCGAGCCCCACACCCAAACCCGTTACATAGGAATTTGAGACTAATCAGCTCGTTAGCCGCTTGGGTTAACGAGCCATATTTCAAATGATGGAGCCAGATTCTTTTTAACACGTGTGATATATACACAAGTTAAACATATTAATAACTATTTATAAATATTATAAAAATTAACTTGGGTTAGACTGTTAGAGATCATTATTTTGCCTGTGGCCACTGAACCCGTACCCCCGGGTTTTATATTTATTTTGTACTTGAATAATAGTAGTTTTAATTTATAAGCAGCGTAATTATAATACATTATCAGAATAAACAGGTTTTATTACTTTGAAATATGGCTCCATTACTACCTACAAAGTGGCTCGGGTCTGGAGTCCGGACTCAGTAGTGGGAGCTGGGAGTCTGGCAGCCAAACAGTAAACACCTTTGTACGTTTTTTGAAAGAAGGCGCCGCGACAACTGGGCACTAAAACCTTTTTTCTCCTACTGCTTCGTGATGGCTTCGAGGTCAGATATGCGAAATGAGCAATACGAAGCTCAGTTTTTTGAATTCTCGCCGTCTTCGTTTCTGGAAGGAGGTAATTGTTATATGTTTTGCGTTGTGGTCAGTCTTGGATTTGGCAAAACCCGTGTTAGTTCCTTATTTCTGGGATTTTTATTTTATTTTAACCCAACCCAACCCAACCTGACCTGACCTGACCCGACCCGACCCAACACAACCTAACCTAACGTAACCTTAACAAAACCACCGCACCTTAGGTGCCTAAATATCTACCAAACGAAGCATTTGCACAAGGAATGATTATCATATCAAAACTCACTTATGAAAATAGTGTAAGAAAATAAAGGTCTTTTTATATTAGTGCACTATTCTATCTAACCTAACCTAATCAGGGGCTCTGCCCCCCTTGGACCACCTGATTAGGTTAGGTTGGTTTTAGGTGATTTTCTATGTTTTCTTTGTTTTTTACACACACTTATTTCTAATACCCAAAGAAAGAATGGTGAACTGCAATAAATTGACCAAAATAAACCACAAAACAAGTAACTCATTTGCTTAAAATCCAATTATAAATTTATGTGAGTCCTAGAACAATAAGTGCTAAAGTGCATTATGCACCATTATTAGTTGTGGTCACAGAAAGAGGACAAATGTTACATTCGAAGTTAAATTAGGTGTGGTAAAGAGATTTGAAGAAGGACATTGAGCTGTGGACATATCAAGAGCTGTCGGTTTGCAGCCTACAACTGTAGGTAAGAACTATTTGTGGAAATGCGGATATCAAATTGTGCTAAAAGTGTTACTCCTTTATATGCTACAAAATTAACTCGTAAAAGAAGTGACATTATGAAAAATATAGAAAGAATACTGAACAAGTGGATTGAGGATCAACATCAACAAAACTTTCTGTTTGTTACTTTCCATACAGGCAAAAGCTCTACGTTTATTGAAACTTTAAAACAAGAAGAAGGGGAGAGTGAAACATTTATGGCAAATTGTGAGAAAATTTTGATCAGAAATGTACCCAAGGAACATAACCCCTATTTATATCATTTTCGTTTAAAGTCGTGGTTTTCAGGAACCTAACAAGGGCGTTAATGTAGGAATTGGTTTTTGCATACAACCCTACTTTGCCAATTATTACCAGGTAAAATTGCGAGACCAAGAGCCAGGGTGGGATTGATATATCTCTGGTTGACTATACCTGTAGTGCAGGTAGGCAATGGTATTACAGGTCCTGTGCTGTACTATCAATGCCTATTGAGATAGAATATTTGGAGCGGTCCGACTAATTACCCAAATGTAGTCGCAATGAAGTCAAATGATGGTCCTACAAGCGTAAATCGGGCTGTGAATCACTTCTCGATTATTATTTGGTGTCATAAAGTCACAAAAAATTGGTACTTAATTTAATCCGAGTTGTGTTAGGTTAGGTTAGGTACATGCACTCGATCTTTTAACTCAGATTAAATTAAGTTTACCAATTTTTTGTGACTTCGTGACACCAAATACTAGTCGAGAAGTGATTGGCAGTCCGATTTATTCATGTAGGACCATTATTTGACTTCATTGCGGCTACATTTGGGTTCATTTGGGTAATTAATCGCTCCCTCGGTACATGCACGCGATCTATTAACTCAGATTAAATTAAGTTTTCCAATTTTTTTGACTTTGTGACACCAAATACTAGTCGAGAAGTAATTGGCAGTCCGATTTATTCATGTAGGACCATCATTTGGCTTCATTGCGGCTACATTTGGGTAATTAGTCGGACCCTATTTGGAGAGCCCTGCAGTAGAAACACATGCATTGCTAATTGAAACTAACTTTACACTGTTGTTACTTTTCAGTGGAAATAGCATTATATTTAGTCAAAATATACATCAATTTTGTATTTTTTCTAGTAAAGGGAATTATCCTTGATCGACTGTGTGAGGCAGTGGATCACCTTGAGAGCCACCTATCCAAGGTTAGTCAATGAATGCCAAGTGTACTGTACTTTAGTGTGAGGAGATATATACTACAGTACTGTGTTTAATAAGCTTCACTTAGTCTTCATCTAAAAAAAAAACACAAGTGAACAAACTACAGGAAGAGTGTTTATTGTTTATTACTGGGTACGTACTGTATTTGGGTGAGATGTCATTGAAAATATTGTAGTTCTTTCCATTGAGTGAGGTGTATTGTCATGTATTGCTCATGCCATTTATGATTCAGCATCAAACCTGGATCTCTTTGAGTGTAAATAGTGCAAATTAATTAATTTCAATTTCTCATAAGGATTGGTTTTCCTGAGTCACCCAGTTTCAGTGGGAAGGAATTAAGTTTTATAAATGGAATATGAGCTGCCTCTGATATTCTTGGCTACCCAAGTTTTGAATTCTTGATATTTTCCCCAAATTTAAAGTCCAGTACTTTCTGCAATCAGTGCCCTCTTCAACACACAACACAAATGCAGAAAGAGATGAGAGAACACTGTAAGAAGTTTTCCTTCTAGTGTGCTGAATATAACTTTACTTATTGTAATTATCTTCTTGTCAGGTCCAGGGAGAGGGTCTGCCACATGAAGAAGTTCAGCAGGGTATTAACCTACTTCGTCAGCAGACAGACACCAATTTTACTAAGACATTTCAGAAATTTGAGGTAAGTATTGTTATTTTCTGGTGGCACTTACAAACACCAGTGTGTCTCTTTGGGAACTTTGGAAAATAAATTGATGAATGTGATGATCAGAAAGTCTTGGATTTTTCTCAAAAGTTAATGAAGAATTAATGAAATTCAGCGTCTAACATTCAATATAAATATTCTAGTAAAGTGTAAACTTGCCATTTGTATTGTAAAATTATGTGCTTTGGGTTTTGAAAACTAAGTTTTTCATCATGAAATCCTATTTGGTAACTGCCCAGAACTGGGTAACTCAAGAATTTTTCCCCAAAGTTATAGACTTGGGTAAGCCATATTTTAAGAAATAAATCTTAGGTTTGGTTAGCTGAGATCTGGAATTAGGTTGGGTTATGTATGATTACATTGGGTTACCAGTAGGTATGTTGAGATAGTTATGTTAAATTATGTTTAATTAGGTAAGGGTTGGTTGGGTTTGGTCAGGTTTGATTACTGTAGGTTGGATTAAGATAGTATAGATAAGGTTGAGTTTGGCTTTGATGATTCTATATTCCATTGTGTTGGTATCTTTTGAGACAAGACTTGCTCCCCCACAGTCACACATCTTGGAGAGCATAATGAATGTGCCCCCTCACATTCTTTTACCAACTGATATGGAACAAGCTACTCAACCATCAACTTCAGAAATTATTAAAGTGAATACAGAAATTGAAAAATTGCACATGGAATTAAAAAATGTAAGTGCAGTACAATATTTTTATGAATATCCTCTTTCATTGTATTTTTTAGCCTTGATTTAATAGAACTGTAGATCAGGATAAAATTACTGTATAGATCTTTAGATGATCAAGTGCAGGTAGGGAGTGATCACTTGTACTTTTGAAGCTGATCAGATTTACTTAGGAATTGTTCAGAAATCAATTTGAACTCTGCTTTGTCCTTTTCAACCATTTCACACCTGTTTCTGATTGAAGTGTACATATCGGTATTGAATGTATCGCAAACAAATTCATGCAAAATTGTGCAATTACAATATGAATATGCTTACAGGAGAAATACTTGCACGCCAAGCTGGAAGAGGAGCTCCAGGATATTGATTTGGTCTTAGGAGAACAGCAGAAGGTCCTCAATGATACTCTAAGTGAATCTCGCATGGCTAACTTTGAAGAAGCAAAAGAAAAGCTAGTGTTAATCCAGGGCATTGAGAGTGAAACCCATTCAGCAGGTGCAAGAGTTCAAGAAGTTACTAAACTTCTAAAAATGGAAGGTGCTAACAGTCCACTCCAGATTTTGGAAACAGACGTTTTCAAATGATTTACTGAAATTCACTGTTTCAGGTATTAGGCTGTCGTTATGGAAGGAAGCAATTGCATGAGACTAGTGAGAGTAATGTACCAGTAGGGTGTATTGTACATCAAAGTGGCTATATCTTCTCTGTCATCACACTTTCACAGCAGCTCCTCTTTGTTGCCCAATAAGCAAATCATGTTTTTATGTTTTCACTATCGATACTATGTGGCACATAGTGTTATCCATATTAGTCAGTACGGATTTTTTATTTTTTTTTAATAACTAGAAACTGGGCCAATAAACCAAAATGAAAGTTTGTGTACAGCCTTAAGTGGTTGATATCTACTGTATTGAGTTTGATAATCAGTGCTTTTTATACTGCATATTTACCACAATTAAGTCACCTTTTCAGCTTAGAATTTTTGATAAGGGCATTGATCGCACTCAGCCATTTCATTATCCAATACTGTACTGTGCTTGCCATAATCATGCCATTGTATCATTTTCTTCCTCTGTTTTCCTGCTTGTAACAATTGCTAAGACAACCCTCATTTTACTAGTGCTTGTATCTCAAGTGTATGTGCATGGTTTCACTCATCTGATTGCTAAACTAACAAGTAAAATTAAAAAAAAAATAAAAATGTTTGCATAGTCTTATTTGTGTTGTATACAGTAGGTGGTTATTGGCAGATATATCAAGAAAATACAGAATTCTATATTATAAGCACCTGTCAAATCCTGAAAGTCCTGAAAGGAAAGTCATCAGAAATATAAATTGATACATGTACAGTATATAGATGAAATAAAAAAAAACTATATTGTACTGTATATGTCCTTAATCCCCCTCTGCAAATGCATAGGAAAAATTCATTACTTCCTGCCCCACCCAAGGTTGTTGTAGGATTGAATTAAAAATATCCAGAGATTGTTATTAACTTAAAAATAATGTGGCTAAAAAAAAAATTGTGAATTTAAACAGACCCCCGGGTTCAAAGGTTTCCCCCACCCCTGCCCTAGGCCAATCAGTAGACTAGGTCAAATTTTGCTTCCACACACACAAACTCCGTTGAACATTACGTATTTTACTTCTTAAATAACAAAATAAAGAAAACATTGGTGCATGCACAATTTATATTAGAAATAATTTTAGTTTTAAATTTAGAGTGAATATTGTATGTATGTAAATTTTGTGAGCGAGTGATTTAAAATGGGAGTGCAATTTATCTTAGGACAATGAACCTAAATATGTCCGTACAGCCCAGTATTGTACAGTGGTCCCTCGGTTAACGAACACAATTCGTTCCAGAAGGTTGTTCGTTAACCGAAACCATTGTTTCAATGGGATTTTGGGTAATTGGTTCCAGCTCACCGAAAATTACATACAAACTAAAAATAAATGCAGTAAAGTACACTTACTTTGAGGTGTGCATGTAGAAGACTCCTGGTTGATGATGATGATTATGGGAATTTGAAGTGGGGGTGGAGGAGAAGAGATACCGTAAGCGAAGGCAGTGGGGGTGGAAGAGAAGTCACCCCATGCTTCATGCCGCCATTTCACCCATAAAACTTTAAGTTACCTTGGTGTAATTCAAGATTATTTTCTTTAAATCAACACTGCACTGAATTATATATTGTTAATATGTAAAATAAATTTCAGAATGACCAATAATTGTACTGTAAAAATGTAAAAATAGTTTATGTTCAAGAGAGTCTCAGGCAAGATGCTACCTCCGCTGAGCAGGGACACAAACCGACGCCATTCTGGGTGAGTCAAGTGGCTGTTTGGCGCGCTAAAAACTAGTTCCCTGTACTTCAATTATGTTAAATAATTGTTAAAATGACAAAAAAATTTTAACATAAGACTTGGAAAATTATTGAATAGTACAACCTTCTTGATATTTATCAAATGGTAACGAATTTAAGTCCTAAAACCGATTACTGTATTAGAGGACTAATACTACAGCTGGTGAGCAGGCAGAAAACATGTGGGAAAAATTCGTAAGGAATTCGTTAACCGAATTGAATATTCTTATGGAAGGTAATTCGTTAACCGAAATTTAGTTAACGAGCACAATTCGTTCCAGAAGGTTGCTCGTTAACCGAAACCATTGTTTCAATGGGTTTTGGGTAATTGGTTCCAGCTCACCGAAAATTTTCTAAACTCAACAAAAAAGGTAGTAAAGTAAACTTACTTTGAAGTGTGTATGTAGAAGGCTCCTGGATGATGATGGGTATTAGAATGGGGGTGGAAGAGAAGGGAGAAGAGAAGGCATTGGGGTGGAAGAGAAGTCACCCCACGGCGCCATTTCACCCATAAAATATCAGTTCACTTGGTGTAATTAAAGATTATATATTGTGAATATGTAAAATAAATTTCAAAATGACCAATAATTTGCTTGGAAACACAGAAAAAAAGCGTCTAGTTGAAGAGTCTCAAGCAAGATGTTACCTCCAGTGAAAAGACAGAGAGACTGACGCCTGTTTGGTGTGTTGACAGGCTGTTTGGCGCGCATAAAACTAGTTTCCAGTACTTCAATTATGTTCAATAATTGTTAAAATTACTAAAAAATTTAATATTAAACTTTTAAAATTATTGAATACAGGTTGTACCTCTCTAGTCCGGCATTCTGTGGTCCGGAAACTCCCGTGGTCCGGAACGATTTTAGTTTGTCCAACAGGTAGATAGGCAGCTTTTTTTTTTTTTTTTTATCTGAATTATTATTATTATTACAGGAGTATTAAATTTTTGCCCCTCAGGCCCCAATGTGGGTCAGTGACCTATGCCCGGGTGGGCTAATCCCCTTAAAAAAAAAAAGCCGCGGGAAATTAAGGTTTGTTTACATCCGGCAGTTCGGCTGCTCTCTCTCTCTGCTTGTCTATACAGAGTACAACATTTAACCCTTCAATATATATGAGCAGTAAATAAGTGTTGCTTTCATATTCTTATGTAGAGTAATGACGATATGTTTTCACATGTGCACACTTACATACGCGCAGTCTCACTTTTTTTTACCATTAATGGTTAGCTACTTATATTGTTCCATTTATTAACATTAAATAACATTACAGGTACTTCAAACAACCATATTAATTTTTTTACATTAATTTTACTGCAGCTAAAATCAGGGTCTTATTTTCTTCAGTTTTATATGTAGAACCAATCAGTCACTGGTTTTGTAAGCTTTAACATAAACAATGCCGGCAGCCATCTCGTCTCCTCTAATATTCCACGTATTATTAATAAATTGTATTGTTAATTTTGCACACACAAACATTAATTCAATAAAAAGAAATTCAGAAACATAAATTAAAATATATATGAACAGTAAATAAGTGTTGCTTTCATATTCTTATGTAAAGTAATGACGATATGTTTTCACGTGTTCGCATGCCCACTTACATACGCGATCTCTTTTTTCTTTACCATTATCGTTAGCTACTTCTATTGTTCCATTTATTTCCATTTATTAACATTAAATAACATTACTTAAAACAACCATATTAATTTTACTACAGCTACAGCCAAGGTCTTATTTTCTTCAGTTTTATATGTAGAACCAGTCAGTCACTGGTTTTGTAATCAACGAAAACAATGCTGTGTCATTTCCTCGTGTGTTTTAATATTCTACGTATTATTAATGAATTGTATTGCTCATTTTGCACACATAAACATTAATTCAATAAAAAAGACATTCAGTAATAAACAATAATGAATCTTTTGTACATAAGAGAAATGACGCTGTTTACACGATTATGCCCGTCGTCTGCACGTTGGCGGGCCGTTCAAACCCGTCGAAATTCAAGTTTCCGCCGTCAAAATTTTTATTTATTTATTTATTTTTTTGTGTTCCAATAAAATACGTTAAGAATTAAAAACTCGCGAAATTTGAGAAGCTACTATACGACATTTAACCCTTCAATATGTCTTCAAAGAGACCATGATGCAGAGAAAGTGGTGCTAGTGCTTCCAAGCATAAGCACAAGTCACTATCTATCCAGGAAAAGGGTGAATTTCCATGGTCCGGCAATTTCCATGGTCCGGCACCGGTCAGGTCCCGAGGTTGCCGGACTAGAGAGGTACAACCTGTAGTATAAACTTCTTGATATTTACTAAAATAGTAAAGAGTTTAAGCCCTAGAACCGATTACTGTATTGACAGACTAATACTACAGCTGGTGGACCGCCAAATGCAAGCGAAAACACGTTGAGGGGCACTCGTAAGAAACTCGTTAATCGAGGGTTTGTTCGTTAACCGAAGATAAGAATCTTATGGAAGGTAAATCGTTAACCGAGGGAATCACTGTACAGGTATACCCCGAAAACTGACGTCCTAATTAACCGTTGCTTCACATCACCTACAATTACATATAAGGGAAATATCCCACAAGTTTCGTTGATACCCCGGAGACCCAACGATTGGGAGAGGTGCAACAGAGCTGTTTTGAATTTGGTGGGCAGCAGAGTGGTGTGAGATCTTGCTACAAGATCCAGGTGGGCACTGCCTGTGTTCAAGTTTGGCATTTAGCAATCACTGTAAGTATACTCTTGAACAGATACATCTTCTACTTGCTCCAGCCACAAGTCAGAAATAATTAGGCCACGAGTCTACAGTTGTAAATGGAAAAAAAAATGCAAATTGATAGCCTGAAAATGTAAGACCAGTGTTTGGGTGATTCAAAGGTAGAGAAATAATACGGTGCAAGACAAGTGTAGGAAGCAAGAGGAAAAGACCTATGAATCATTTGTACGAAACAGAAAAGTGATTAATTCAATTATGTATTAGGAATAATCAATAGACATCATAATAGGTAAAAATTATTAAAGCTGTATTATATATCATACATTATCTTTACAATCAAATTTTTTGCATAATTTTGCTTTATAAAATGGAACAGTAACATTCAAATTAACAAATAAAAATACCGTAGACTAGAAGTAACAGGTTTTCATAACTAGTGGTAATGTTGTCTTCCCAGAAGGCCTTACAGTTGGACCATCTAAGAATGATGATGCAGTTTTCATACAGTAAAGTAAGTAGCCTGTGACATGGCCTCTTCAACTCCTATAATTCTTTAGTTTTTTTTTAACCAAATTTATTTTTAAATACATTGTTTTAACTTTACATATTATTTTTAGATGGAGAGCAGAAACTTTTTTCATATAATATACTTGTACAGGATTATGTTATGTTACCCCATCTTTAATTATAAAGTATGAATTATTTATTTTATACAGTATATATATATATATATATATATATATATATATATATATATATATATATATATATATATATATATATATATATATATATATATATATATATATATATATATATATATATATATATATATATATATATATATATATATATATATATATATATATATATATATATATATATATATATATATATATATGTATGTATGTATGTATGTATGTATGTATATATATATATATATATTACTTGACAATTTATAGTATTCCAAGATATCAAATTTTGAATGAGTTTCTTTTAAAATATTGCATTTATAAACCAGATTTACAAGAATTAGATAAACTAAATAAACATATATATAGAACTACTAAAATAAGCAACTTTTCCATTTATACAGTCAATAATGTGCAGTTGTGGTGGTAAACATAAGGTAAATGGGAGCAAAATAAACTGATACCAGTCTCCTAAAATATACATGGTTAACTGTATTCCCCATATATCAAAATCACTAAACCTATATGTAGTGTTGAAAGCTCCCTTGCCCTGGAGCAGCAGTGTGTGTGTGCACCTTGATACCGTACTTGTCGAGTGTACTAAATAAATGA